GACCGACTTGGGAGAGCGGCCTCGTTCTCCTCCAGTGCTATACGTCGACAACAAGGCTACCATTGCCTTGTGTGAGGAGCACAGACTGGAGCACAGAACGAAGCATATCGCTCTGTGCTACTTCCTTGCTCGAGAGCTGCAGCAGCGTGGTCAGCTTCGTCTGCGTTACGTGGCCACTCGGGCCAACACTGCTGATGTGTTCACCAAGGCGCTTCAGCCTTGTGACCATCAGCGCTTCTGTACTGTTCTAGGCCTTGTGCCTACTGGTCCTCACTTGCTTACTTCTTGACTCTGCTTGTACTGTGATCTCTATATATATACCTGCATGTTTACTCTTGCTAGGTTGTGATCACTGTATCTCTTGTTATATTATCAACCTGCATGTGAACTGGTCTTGTGACCACTTGCTTGTGCTCAGAATTTGTGAGGTTTCCTTGAGATCCACCCTGAGCTTGCTTTGCTTTGCTTTGACTGGTCTTGTGACCATCTGGTTGTCTCCCACTTAGCCTATGGGGGTGTGTCAAACATTATATGTTTATATATTGTGTAGGCTATAGTGGGTTTAGTCATAGGGGGTACAACAACTTAGGGTTTCCTACTTGTACCCAACTTCTTCCTAGTTCATTCATTCTCGTGCAGTACTATCTTCTAACAGAGAGGATATGCGAGATTTGGCGAGTGCAGGTCATCAGGTACATGCGGAACCCCACCAGCTCTGCATACTGACCACTTGGCTCAAAATTCTCGTCAGGAGGCGGAGAGCGCGTGGCAAATAGGCAGAGGAGTGGGCTGTGCAAAAGAGAGCTGAGATCCGAAGCGCAGGAGGATCTGCTGCACCATGTGCGACTAAGTGAAAGTGACGCTGCTATGTCCTTAGCGACTTGCAGGCCATGATAGCGGCGCAGCTCGCCTAGGTCAGTACAAGCGTGTCTCCTCAGCAGCCCGACCTTCACCGAGGCTAGTGCGACTCTGTCCGGGGTAGTGAAGACAATGCAGTCAAGGGAGTAGAGCTAGAGCAAACAGAGAGAGACGAGTCAGCAGAGGACGGAAAGAAGCGGGTTTGCCAGAGTAGTGCGCAGAGTGTCGTGCTAATCACGAGGAGCCTCACGCGGATCGTAGACTTGCCGTTGAAGGCTCCATTGGGTCCCAGGGGGGAAGGACTCAGTAAAACCAGGCAGGCGGCGGAGGAAGATCCGCTCGTGCATGTTGCCCAGGAAAAAGGCAGTAGAGAAGTCGAGCACACGAAGCTCGTATTCGCGCTGCGCTGCGATGTGCAGCAGTACCCGAAGGGTGGTCACCTTTGGGGTGGTGGGGATCGTGTGAATGAAGTATACCTCAAGGGTTAGGACGCGTCACAATTGAAACACCGATCCTGTGCAGGATCGGTGTTTCGCGGGTACAGTACTTTCACGACGTCGTCAAATGGTGGTTACATGTATTCGTCATCTGTCGCCAATGTACAGTTGTCCCCTCGGAGTCAGGCGATCGATGTGCTCTTGCCACACATCGATCGTGCAATTTCGTCCACATCGGGCAATTTTGCCCCGTGATTTTTCGATCGTGTCACTTGAGACTTGCGGTGGGCCCGCGATTGCAAAAGTGCAGTCGTGGCACATCGATGTGGCGACCAATTTGGTAGGATCAGTGAACAACCCCGATCCTTTCTCGGTATTTCATTTGTGACACGTCCTTAGCATCATAGCGCAAAGATGAGGAGCAGCGGCCACAAGGAAAGCCAGCTCGTATTGCCTGTCCTCTAGGACGTTATTGCCAAGGGCAGGAGCACCCCTGGCGGACGGAGAACGGGCAGGAGCAGAGACCAACCGAGTGACGTAGTCAAGGCGGCAGGTGGAGGCAAAATCAGCAACAGTAGCGACAAGGGCAGAGACAGACGGAGGAGGAGCCGTGAGACCAATAACGAGGGGGGAAAGGACACTGGAGTCCGAAGGCCGAGCGACACGAAGAAAGTCAGAGAATGGAGGAGAGGAGACAACAAAGGACGACGGAGGAGGAAACGTGGGACCATAGACCGGGAGAGACGGTGGTCGGTCAGTCGAGGGGTAAGAAAGACCAAGAATGCGAAGTGGAGACACAGGCGGCGATAGCGGCTGTTGCGGCGGCTGCTGCTGCGACGCCGGACATCCCGCGCCCGCGGTACCCCCCGTACTATTACCTTCTGCAGCAGCACCCCCAGGACCAGCACTCCCAACATCAGCATCCCCAGAACCAGCGCCCCCAGAGCCGGCACCCATAGCGGCAGCACCCCCAGAGTCCATAGCGACCGGCTGCGCCGGCGTCTGCGAGGACGACGCCGGTGACGGTAGAGACTGCGGCAACGACTGCGGCGTGGGCAGTGGACGAGGGGGAGGCGGTGAATGTGCTGATATAGGAAGCGAAACCGCACGTACCAGGCCTCCAGAGTCAGCATACTCCCCAACATGCCCTATCGAGTGAAGGGAGGTGACGCGCGATACACTAGACGTAGCAGGACGCGGGGGCATGGGAGCGAGCGGGGAGGGGGAAACCAAGGAAGACACACGGGAGAGTGCGGGCTGGAAGCTTGTTCGCGCGAGGGTCGTGGACGTGAGCAAGGCAGTCCCAGACGGGGCCATAGGTTAAGCTGGTGCGTGGTGTAGTAGACTAAGAACGTCGATAGAAAATGGGGGGCACTTGCATGAATCATGGAGGTACGAGCAACCTCCATGACCAAGCCAATGCGACACTCAGCTATCCCATCCTGCTACGGCGAGTTCGGGAGCGAGTACGTCTGGGTGATGCCCTCCGCACGACAGAACTGGCCAAGGTGTCCGGAGTTGAACTCACCACCACGGTCGGAGTGCAGGCGAAGCACACGCTGGGCGCTCTAGGTGCGGACGGCTACTAGCTACGGGAGGAGAACGTCAGGCATGTTGGCCTTCCGCTCCAAGGGAAACACCTTGGTGTTGGGAGAGTGACGTTGCCTGCCCTCGATGCAAGGGGTGCACGACAGCGCAGACGAGGGAGGGAGAGCGGGGAGCAACGACGGGAGATCAGGGATCCGACTCTGCTGAGCCATGTGACGGAGACGCGGGAGGGCGGGGTGACCTAGACGGTGGTGCCACAGGAGCGATGGGTGAGTGACCGACCGAAACGAGTACAATTCAGCTACCTGACCAGACGCAGGAACCAGAGTGGACGCAGTTTGTAGCATGAAAAGACATGAAGCAGGTTCCCGAGAGGACGTGGCAAGAGGTACCCCTGTGGTAGCGTCCATAAAGGTCGCAATCGCTCTTGCCCAGGAAACGTGGTGGTGACGCCACGGTCCTGAAGACGACCGACACCCACCAAGTCCCTAGAGAACAAGGGGATGTGTAGACCTAAGTTGGAGCCAGAGGGGACTGCCGGGCACGGGAGCGCAATAGCGCTGCGTGCAACAACCGGTCCAAAGGAGGGGTCGGCCAACGAGACTACGACATGGGCTGGAAGCGACGAAAAGGTGGTGTAGTTACGGAAGAAGCACTGGGCGCTCTGGAGTCCAGAGTGAAGGAGAGGGACGCGTCGGCACTGGGCGCACCTGCGCAAGAGAACCTAGTCTAGGCACACACAAATTAGAGAATCTGACAACACCAGAGTTTTCAACATACATGGCATACAAAGCATATCCTGTCTGAGATATTTCCACACCAAATACTGGCAAACTCCTGCGTAACATCGTAGGACCGTCCGGGACGAACGCCGTAGGCTTTAAGTGGGCGCAAAAGAGGTCGCCGATCTGGCATAAGGAGGGCACATGTGGGTGATCGGTGCGCCCACAGACGGTGCCGCGCAGTGGACCAGACTAAATCTGGTACTAGCAGGGCCCTGAGGAGAGGCCACGCGACGCTCAGCTGTCAGACCCGCCACCGTGGCCACTGCTCCCCGGACCAGCAGGTCCTCTCTGCTACTGGGAAACCCACCGCTGCTACTGCGACTGCTGCTGCTGCTTGTGCGGAGTCACTATCGCACCTACATCGGCAGTAGCACCACCGGGCCCACCAGGCGCAGAGCCAGTACCCTCAAACGTATGTGCACCCCCCGATGTACCAGCAACGTCACCTCCTCCATCCCTGCGCTGTCCCCACCCACCAGAGGGGGCAGAGATAGCTGCGACCTCCGCTGTAGCAATAGGCTCAGCAACAGAAGTAGCGACAACTGGGTTAGGGACGTAGCGCACCCCTCAAAGATGAGGGGGACTACCGCACCAGTGGTGGAGGCGATGGTCGTAATGCATGTCTCGGTCTCAGTGAGACGAGTCTAAAAGTGATCGATAGTGAGGCTCATGGGGTGCATGGCGAGAAGGGCGTCCCGGTCAGGCGCGAGGAAGTGCACGGTAAGATACATGGAGAGGGGCATACTTAGCGAGGTGGTCAGCAGTGCAAGCAGCACGGAAGCTAACGTCAAGCGAGCGCAGGTGGGTAGTGAGGTCAGCGACAGTGGGCTAAGCATGAGGAGGCGCCCCAGAGCACAAAGGAGGAGGCGGAGTAGCGAGCAACATTAGCATCCAGTCACTCGTTCCTCGTCTCGACCTGGCGAAAGTGCACTCGCTGAGCTGGGGACAGGAGGCGACTAAGAGCAAGGCGGGCAGCAACATCACGCGACTCCCAAACCAAGTACGCAAGCTGGGCCATGCGGTGAGCCTCCGACTCCGCCGACGTGGGCTAAGCATCAAGGGGAGCGGGACGCTGGGGGGCACCCGACACATGGGCGTACAGGGAGACGTATTCCTGGCCCTGGCTCCGCAGGTCGAGCTTGACATCGAGCAGCTACGCGTCAAAGTTTATCGCCCGCCCCTCCGCATTGAGCCACATTACGAACTCGGACGCCATGACAAAAGGGAGCGGGGGCACAGCTGACGCAGATGAGAGGGGACAGGCACAGGCGGAGGAGGAGACAGTCAGAGGCAAACCCTAAACAGCGGATGCAGGCGCGGCGACAGGCATCAGCTGCAGGCACGGCGGCGGGCATCAGCGGCAGGCTAGGCGTTAGGCAGCAGCTGCAGGCGTGACGGCAGGCGCGACAGCAGGCGCGGTCGGCAGGCGCACGGCAGGCACGGCGGCAGGCATGAGGCAGGCGCGGCGGCGAGCACGGTCGGCAGGCGCGGCCAGCATGCGCGGCAGGCGCTGTGGCATGGCGCGACGGTGGGCGCACGACGGTAGGAACGAGGCAGGCGCTACGGCAGACACGGCGGCAGGGCGCGAAGTCAAGCGCGCGGCAGGGCGCGGCAGGGTTCGAGGTAGGGCGCGACAGCGGGGTGGGACGGGGTCGCTAGAGGGGGCCGCTAGAGGGGGCCGTGAGGTCACGAGGGCAGCTAGGGAGGTAGGTGGGGCGGAAGCGAGAAACCTAACTAATTTAATACAATGTAAAAATCTGAGTGAATTGCTCATGCATGAGGGCATTCAAGGGGGGTATAAGTACATCCCATACCCTCTATAGTGCAACCCATCTTAGTCTAAAAGGTACATATACAAATCTATATGCGTACATTGACAGTTTCTCGATGTTATGTATGGCAACAGTAATCGATACGACTTAGACATACATAAAACCGTTTAGAACCAAATGCCATATAATGAGCATTTCTGCCAATAGGACCCTCCCACACACCCTTGTGCATCCCCACCGCCATCCCGCCTCTCCCCGCTCGCCCTCCTCTGGCCCCGCTCGGTATATTAGAAGTGTATTGAAGTGTTTTGGGATGGTGCATAGAGAAACTATAACGCAGTGTACACCTGTGTAAGATCATTATACCCTTTCGACGGTGGAGCACCACTGAGCGGATGATTTCCCGCGCGTTTTTCGTGCGTCTGGACTGGAAGAAATCTAGGGTTTCGTGAAGCTTCTCCTGCTTCATCAAATGCAGCTGAACTTGCCTGAAGTTTGCATCATCACCAGCGGGCAACCTGATCTGAATCTTGGAGTCTCATCTCAATGCTGGTCAGACCTGGACGAGACTAAGGCAGGAGGAGCTTTGTAACGTGGCGTGTTGGCGTTTGTGACTCATTAATCCGCGTAGTTGGCGATAGTTTCCGCCACTTTCCTACTATCGGAAGCCCTTTATATTCAAGATCTGAGATTTTAGCGAAGGCTAAGGCCATGGCATCGGGTTATGGCCGCTCACCCTACGACTCCGTTCGCCAGTTTGACTCGCAGCCTCCCGCACGCAGCGGTTACGATTCCTTAGATCGCGACCGTCCATCCGCTCACGCTTCTTATCGCGAACGGTCCCGATCGCCTCGACGATCCGACAGTCTCGCCGGCGCTTCACGGGATCGTGACCGCTACGGCGTGACTGACCGGTCAGGATTTGCCGGAAGGGACCGGGAGCGCGAACGGGACAGAGAAGCCGGGAGATCTTACGAACGTGACAGGGACAGGGATAAGGACAGTTATCGCGACCGGGACCGTGAAAAGGATTCTTCTCGCGAAAGGGAGAAAGATCGCGATAGAGGCGACGGTCGAGAACGAGCCTCAGGATTCAGCGACCGGTACGATTCTGCCGGCAGGGGCAGCAGCGCCGGTTACCGTGACGACAAGTACGACCGCGATCGTGACGACCGGTACGACCGCGATCGTGATGATCGGTACGGCGTGTCTGGCAGCAGGTTCGGCGGCGGAGGACCTATGGGGATGGGAGGTCCGCCCTTAGGTCCGCGCGGAATGGGAGGTCCGGGAGGAGGTCCGGGAATGAGCGATCGGTGTAACGCGTGCGGCGGGGTGGGGCACTGGGCGCGTGAATGCCCGAGCAAGTTCGGCGCGCGAGGCGGGTTCGGCGGAAGGTTCGGCGACGATGGGATGGGACCCAAGTGCTACGAATGCGGGCGGAGGGGACACGTGGCACGAGAGGTACGTCCTGAGTTGAAAGAGTTGGTCATAGTCACGAATTTAGTCGGGGATTGTTCCAAGTTTTACGGCCTTATAGTTTGAACCTTCCTGCTTGTTTCAAGCTCCCATTGTTCCTTTCAAGTCGTCAATGTATTTTCCTGTATTCTCACAACCTGCTTTCCTCGTCGCTTATAATTATACCTTATTATCTATTTGGTATTTCAGAGCAGATTTAATTGTTCTGTTGGTCGTTTTGTAGTACAGCAGCTGCTGTCTAGCTTGTGATGAAGGGAGAGGGAGATGGGGGAGGGAGGGGGAAGGAAAAGGGAGAAGGAAGATAGGAGATGGGAGAGGAAAAATGATAGGTAAAGGGAGAGGGAGAAGGAGGAGTTGTGGACTCTCCTAAAAGCACAGATTTCGCGCAGAGTTTGAAAGTTGGGTATCTGCTATTCCTCCTGCTGCTCCTTCTTCTCCTTCTCGTTCTCCCTTGCGGAGCTTTACCTGCTGGATTCGAAGCAACGGCGAAGGTGGGTCGTGGGCGTAGCTGTTTAGACTAGGGGAGAAACGATGTGGGATGGCAGGGTGAGGAGAGGGTGAAGGGTAGGAGGAGGGCGACTGGGTGGGCTGGACGCTGAAAATCATGGAGGTGTGAAGCGGAGTGGAGAAACTGGAGGGGGTGGAATGGAGTGGGGTGGAGAGAGATGGAGAGAGGTGGAGTGTGGTGGCGTGGAGTGAAGAGGACTGGAGCGGAGTGGGATGGAGTGGAGTGAGGTGGAAGGTGGAGGGGTGATGAGGGCGTAACGGAGGTATACACGGGAAGGTGGGCAAAGGGGAAAGACGGGGTGGAGTTGAGAAAGTGGACGAATAGGTGGGGCTGGGCGGGGTGGGGCGGGGCGGGGGAGGGGGAGGGGGGGCGGAAGAGGGGGAGAGATATGAGACACGTGTCGTGCAGTGCACTGCCTCTTCTTGCCTCCAGCGCCCTACGCCCAGCTTTCCTCCTAGCCTCCTGGCTCGAGGTGCGCACCTATAGAGCTTAAATTTCACGACAAGGTGTGTATGCTGGATAATCGGCTTACAGGGCTCCGTGCCGTCTTTTGCTTACCTTCTTCCGTTCGTAACTGGAACACAGCGCGAGTCCCTGCGTCTCCCTGCCGGTCGTCGCACCGTCTCTTCCTCCCTCTGTACCCTGCATCACCCCTCTGCACCCCTGCAGGCTGTCAGTTACAAGCCGGGGATCCTTGACGGCCGCATAGGTCAGAGCTGTTACGTCTGCAACGATGCGGGTCACATCTTTTGAATCGCGTCAAAGCCTTTCTGTGCCCTCTCCACCCCTCTCGTCCCCTGTCAACCGGTTGTCGCCCCTCTGAACCCCTGCAGTGTCAGTTCAAGCAGGGCAACCCCGACGGCCCCATAGAGCAGCGCTGCTACGTGTGCAACGAAGTGGGTCACATCGCCCGCGACTGCCCCGCCAAACCACCCCTCGGCGCCCCCATCGGAGCCATAGGCTCGGGCCGAGCCGGGCCCGGGTTCGGCCCAGGCTCGGAATTCGGTCAGGACGGGTGCTACTACTGCGGCAGGAAGGGGCACTTTGCGCGGGAATGCCCGGAGAAGTTTGGCGGCGGCGCGCCGATGATGCCGCCGGCGGCGGCGATGGCGGCGGCGGCTGCGGCAGTGGGAGGGCTGGGTCCGGGGATGCAGGATCGGTGGATGGGGGGACTGGGGGCGGGGATTGGGGCGTTCAGACCGGGATTTCCGCCGGGGATTGCGGCGTTTGGGGCGCCGATAGGGACGGGGTTTCCGCCGCAGGTGGTGCGTCCGGCGGGAGACGGGTGCTATGAGTGCGGCGAGCCGGGACACTTCGCCCGAGAGGTACGCCGCTTCGCTCCCGTGCTAGCGTTTGCTGTGTGTATCGCACACTTACGGAAAATGCTATATGTGCGGTTCACGCTTGGTTCTTTGATGAATTTTGCCTTGTCCTTCTATCATCCCCACCCCCCCTTCAACCCCACCACCCGCTCCCTCCCAACCCCCTATCCTCCCCACCCTCCTTCCTCTCCCCTTCCCTCTCCGCTACCCGTTCTCACTGTTCTTCTCTTCCCTCCATCCTTTTGCCTTCCTTTCTCGCAACCTGCTGCCCCTCTTGTTCCGCTTCTGCTTATGTCTGCTTGTTGATCGCGCCGCTTTTTAAAACGCACCAATTCTTGACGTATCTTTTTTTTCCCACTCTCCCACCTTCCCCCTTTCCTCCCCCCATTCCCGCCCCCCGTCCCGCCCTCCCCAACTTGCTTCCCTGCTGCCCCCGCTCGTTCTCTTCCCCGCGCCTGTCTCCCCGCAGTGCCCTTCCCGGTCGCGGCGTTTTGCGGAACGGGCAGCGGCAGCGGCGGGGGCGGCGGGGATTGCAGTGGCGGGGACGGGGGCCGAGGGGCGGCGCATAGCTTCCAAGGCAAGTGGGAGGGCGGCAGAGGAGGCGCTTAATAATGAGCTGGAGACGTACATGAAGGTACACTCCGTTTCGTGGTTATATACAGGTGCCAGTTCTGGTGTAGATCGACTAGGTTTAACCACAGAAGGCGCTTAATAATGAGCTGGAGACGAACATGAAGGTACACTCGGTATATGAAGTTGCTAATTCTGGTTCTGGTGTAGATCGACTCGATTTAGTTACGGGAGGCGCGTAGTAATGAGCTGGAGACGTACTTGAAGGTACATTCGGTTTTGTGGTTATACATCGAGGTGTTAGTTTTGATTTGGGTGTATTTCTACTCTTTAGAGGCAGAGGAGGCGCTTAATATTGAGCTGGAGATGTATACGAAGGTGTTCTAGCTCTGGCGTAGATCAACTCATATTAACCACAGGAGGTTCGTTTCGTAGTAATGAGCTGGAGTCGTACGCAAAGGTACAGTAGTTTTTGTGACTATGTGTGACTATGTAAGTGCTAATTCTGGTGCGGGTGTAGATGGCCTAGTAGAAAAATGAGCTGGAGACAAAACGTAGGGGAGGGTTGGGTTTCCATGCTGTTTGGTGGAGTGTTGTACCAACACATGCGCGAATGCATGTTTGGGCTCGAAAACCAAGAGGAGCAAAGAGTGGCCGTATAGGCGGAAAGTAAAGAAAAAACTGAAAGATGACCAGGTTGCTTCCTGTCTCGAGGCTATTTTTGAAGAATCACAGCACCAACATGTTTTTTTTTTTTTTTCAATTGGCTTTCTCTGTTCTTGTGGGTGTTGCTGCAGGACAAGGCTAGGGATGGGGGCAGCAGTGAGGAGAGGGAGGAGGAGGGCAGGAGGCGCGGCGGGAGGGAGAAGGATGCAGAGGGAAGAGACGAGGTAAGAGGAGGGCGGAAAGGGGGAAAGGATTCCAGTGATAGCGACAGTGGTGTGCGGAGGAAGGGGAGAAGTGAGAAGAGGGGAGGCGACAGGAGTAGCAGGAGGAAGCGCTCTCGATCGCGATCGAGCAGTAGCCGGTCCAGGTCGGTGGGTAGTAGTCGATCGAGCCGCTCGTCGGGATCGAAATCGTCCCGGTCGAGGAGTAGGTCTAAATCGAGATCGTCGCGATCGAAATCCTCTCGCTCAAGAAGTAGGTCCAAGTCGTCGCGCTCGTCCGCCTCGTCCAAATCAAGGAGCTCGAAATCGAAGGGTGGGGGGTCGAAGAGCACGGGGTCGTCTTCTCGGCGCAAGGCGTCGCCGTCCGCCAGTGATGCTTCGTCCGGGAGGGATGGGAAGGGTGGCAGCAAGCGGCGGAGCGACTCTGAGGAGGTTTCGAAGAGTGATGATGCGGGGAGGGAGAGGGAGGGGAGGAGGAGCGGAGGGAAGGGAGAGGGGCGGGAGGAGGAGAAGGGGGAGAAGGGGAGGGAGGGAGGAGAGGAAGAGGGGAGGAAGGAGGAGGGGGGAACCGGGAGCAGGGGAAAGGAGGGTGGAGAGGAGGGGGGGAAAGGAGGGGAGGACAGGGAGCAGGAGGCAGTGGAGCAAGGTAGGGGGGAGGAAGGAGCAGAAGGGGGAGAAGCGAGAGGAGCAGGTGGGTTGAGCGAGCGGCGAAATGAGGGGGAGGCAGCAGAGGGAGATAAAATGGACGAGGATAAAGGGGAAGGGGCAACTGCAGGGGGGGCTGCCGCTGAAGAAGTGGGTAAGGGAGGAGCTGGAGGTGCTAGTGATGGTGTGAGGGGGGAGGATGCAGGAAACAAGCGCAAAAGGACGAGTGAGGGTGAGAATACAGGTGGGAGTGTGGGGGAGGGAGGGGGCGAGGAGATGAGCTTGGGGTTGGATGCTATAGCAGCTGCAGCAGAGGCTGAGGCGGCTGGGGCAGAGGCTGAGGAGGGAGGGAAGGAGGGGACGGAGGGACGTAAGTTGCTTGATTTGAATGAGATGGAAGGAGGAAATGATGGGCGTGTGGATCAAGGAGGGCATTGATTGGTTTGGGCCCTGCACACGCTCAGGTGTGTGTTGGATGTGCATTTTGCGAGCTGCATTTTTGGCAAGTGGGCGTTACTCAGCTGGTATGCTCGAATCATTGAAATAATTTGAATATTGTGCACTTCTTATGCTGTGTTGGTTCTCATTGGTGCAGGGCCGCTGGGGTTCTCGGTATGAGGATTAGCATTTGGTTATCTGTGTAACAATGGACATGCTTGACTTTTGTTGAGAATTTTGTTTAGAATCATACCAGGAATGATATCTAACGAATTCCTGATTTTTTTAAGCAATCGCATTTTCAGTCACTCGAAACTCGAGGCGGAATGCTTTCCATGTCGCCTTGTTACGTAACCTTTCGCCAGCGCAGCTGTTTTTCCGCCGCCAATCAGCTCTTCAGATTCTCATGATCTGTGAATCGTCGCCAGAACAGAGCCAAAACCCCAAGCCCCTGGCGTGTCCCTTGAAATTGCTGAGCCCGCTTCAGCCTAACCAGAGCTCTCAAGATTTCTGTCCATTGCGAGTTCCGGCTCAGCAAGTCCATTGTTTCAAATTTCTTGTACCAGGCAAGACCCTCCTTCTCCTCCAGCTCTTAGTTTCCGCACCTCAAATTTCTTGGCTCAGGTTCCAGTTTCTGCTTGGTCCTGGAATCTCCAAGCTAGTCATTTATCTCTTGGTACTCTTGGTACCCTTGTGAGTCGAACACCTGAATATCGACTCCGTCTGTGGAGATTCTCTTAAGGAGCATTACAAGGTTTAAAGTCCGATCTGCTGAAAGCTGGTCTTTGTTATCAAGTACTTTGAAGATGCTCGACATTAACTTGTTCCGAGCGGAGAAGGGCGGGAATCCAGAGATCATTCGCGAATCACAACGGCGAAGATATGCGAAAGTGGAGCTGGTCGACGAGGTGATCGCTCTGGATAAAGAATGGCGGGAATGTGAGTCCACGGATCAAATCTGATAACTTCAATATTCTTTCGCCTTTTTCTATCTCTTCCTCTTCCACAAGTCTTTCGCATACTACGAAGACGTCGATTCCTGTGTTGTCCTAGTGGTTTTATTCACTGATTATCTGGTTTCATTGGTTTTTTTCTCTTCAGGCCAATTCCAGCTGGATCAGCTACGAAAAGACTTCAATAAGGCCAACAAGGAAGTCGCCGCCAAGAAGATTGTAAGTGCTTCTATTTCTGGTGCTTCCCTGATCCCAGTCGACCAATGTGATAAAAAAGCTTCGTCTGCCGGTTTCCGGTTCGTGTCTTCCATGTGCTGTTTGCAGTTTGCTTTAATAAATATTATCTTGTGACCCGTTTATCTCGATAACATCTTAAACCCCTCCAACTCTTGTTTTCTTTTCCTATTTTCGGAAAAACAAGCAAGGTCGACGGCGGGGATCGCTAAGGGAAATCCATCGACGAGGCGATCAACGCCATTTTTTCACCTCTCATCGTTCTCTTTCGCCTCTCATCGTTCTCCTCCCATTTCGCAGGCGAAGCAGGATGCGACAGAGGAGATCGCCAAGGTGAAGTCGATCGACGAGGCGATTAAAGCCAAGGCGGTGGAGGTGGAGGAGAAGCGCAAGGAGGTGGACGCGCGAGTGAACACGATCGGCAACCTGGTGCACGACTCCGTGCCCGTGGATAACGACGAGGACCACAACGCCGTCATTCGCACGTGGGGCGAGCCTCGCACGGACGAGGGCGTGAAGCGCAACCACGTGGATCTGGTGCACATGCTCGACATCGCGGACTTGGAGCGAGGTGCGTGCAGCGCCGTTGGTTTTCTTTCCTCTCCACTCTGTTTGTTGTGATGAGTATGCTGCACTACACTTACGCGTTGATCGCAACCACGTGGATCTGCTGCACATGCTCGACATTGCTCGACTTGCGCCGTTGCTTTCAGTGTCTCCCCTTACATCAATTTGACGCCCTGTTTTGCTTGGATTGCAACCACGTAGATGTGGAGAACATGCTCGACATCACGGACTTGAACGCGGCTTCTTTCTTTCTTTCTTTCTTTCTTTCTTTATTCTTTCTTCCTTGTGTGTTTTTATCAACAGGAGCCAGCACGGCGGGCGGCCGCGGGTACTACCTCAAGGGGATGGGAGTGATGCTGAACCAGGCGCTTATCAGCTTCGGCCTCTCGTTCCTCGTGCAGCGGCAGTACACGCCGTTGCACACGCCCTTCTTCATGCGCAAGGAGGTCATGGCGGAGTGCGCGCAGCTCGCACAGTTCGACGAGGAGCTCTACAAGGTACAGTGCGCGGCGTGCCGCGGGCGTAGTTAACTTAAACACCTTGGGAATCATCTAGTTGTGCTCGAGTGAGTGGTCTCTCGCTAACCTGCTCCCCGTGCATCGTTCCGCGTGCGTCCGCGCAGGTGTCGGGAGAGAGCGACGACAAGTACCTGATCGCCACGTCGGAGCAGCCGCTGTGCACGTACCACCGAGGGGAATGGCTCGACCCCAAGGCTCTCCCTCTCAGGTGACGCTCTTTCAGGCGCTCTCACTCACCTGCCTTCCTCGCTCCTCCTCCCTCTTCTTTCAGCCCGTTCCCCCCGCCCCTTCTCCCCCACTCGGCCTCGCCATCCCGTTCCACCAACCCCTCCTTCTATTCCTTCTTTCGCATCTAATCACCGTTGTGTTGGCGACTCGTCGGCAGAAGCCCCCTCCTTTCTGCCACGTCCTTCGGCCACAATAAGTACCGCCTCGGTGTTCTGTGATGATAACCATCCATGCTAATTCCGACGCCCGTCAGGGTCGCATGGGGAACCACATCTTTTTTACTCTCTTACTGAGAACACCAAGCGGGAACCAGGAAGACTCACGGTTGTACTGTAATTTGCGATGTTGTCTGTCGATTTCGTTTTGATTAAACTTGTTTCAGAATTTCGCGCTCATGACAGGTGGTCCAGGGATGTTACAAAACACCATGCTAATTCTGAACTCCGTCTAACGGAGTGTGCGGAAGCACATCTCTATTCAAGCTGAGGACCACCAGTCGATCCTGAGTCGCGTGTTTCTCATGCTCAGTGTTGAATTTCTTGTCATTACTCTTCGCTCACGGTCACAAAGACTAGTCACTGACTCTGCCACCCACGCTGCCCTGTTCCCTTTTCCCACTCTCCACGTGGTTTTCTGCTGCTGCCGTTCTGCTGTTTCTACTGTCGGTTGCCACTTTGTCTTCACCTCACCCCACCGCCTTCACTTCGTTCTCCCTCAGATACGCGGGGTACTCGACATGTTTCCGCAAGGAGGCGGGGTCGCACGGGCGGGACACGCTGGGCATATTCCGCATCCACCAGTTTGAGAAGGTGGAGCAGTTCGCCATCACCAGCCCCAACGGCACTGACTCGTGGGAGATGCACGAGCAGATGCTCAAGAACTCGGAAGAGTTTTACCAGCAGGTAGGTGGCATGATGAGGCGGGTTGAGCCTGGGGTGGTTGTTTTGAGAGCTGATTGTGAGCGAGCTTTTGGTGGGGGCGGACGAGAATGAAATGCTTGCATAAAAATGATAATGATTCGTGCGCCAACATTTGGACTGGCAACTCAGTTTGCATGATAGACCTTTGCTCAACCGAGATGATGCCCACTCTCGTATGAATACTGGCAGCAGCAGCAGCAGCAAGAGCCCAATGATGATCCTTGTCTTAACCACACTGAAGGACGTGTGCCAAGGGGTTGGCTTGCCCAGTCTCCGCTCCTCCCTCTCTCCTCGCCCGTCCCCTCCTCCTCGTCCTCCTCCCTGTCTTTTCCGCCTCCCATCCATGTGCATTACCACCACCGCCTGTGCCTTTGTTCCGTGCCCATCATGCTTCCGCCTCCATTCATTGTCGTTTTCTCCTGTGTGAGAGAGGGGAAGGGAGGCAGCGTGGCTGGTGCGGGTCCGCCTCTTGGGGTTGTGCACACTTGTGGAAAAACCTGGCTAGAACTGAGGGCTTGCTTGCTGCTGCTTCGGATTCTTCATTACCACACATCTCCTTTCTGGAATGGACCAGAAAGGAATGGAGACAACACATGGACCAGCGTTCCCATCCTATGGACCTGCTAGGTTGTGTCTCTGGAATGGAGACAACACATGATCCTGCCAGTCTGTCTAATTGCAAACCTTTTCAACATTATCCCGGACCTAACGTGTTCTGACCGCTAGACTTTGAGGCGCCGATCGAATTCGTTTGATCTCTCACTCCTGTTTCTGTCACTTCTCCCTCCACTTCTTCCATCTGCCTCTTCCCATCTCGCATCATCCCAGCTGGGTCTGCCATACCGAGTGGTGGCCATAGTATCGGGAGCGCTCAACGACAGTGCAGCCAAGAAGTATGACCTGGAGGCGTGGTTCCCGGCCTCCAAGACCTTCCGCGAGCTCGTTTCCTGCTCCAACTGCACCGACTTCCAGGCCAGGCGCCTGGAAATCAGATACAGGCAGAAGAAGGTGCGTCTGTGTGTGGTTTGTTGACTGAATGGGTGAGTGTTAAGACGGGATTTAGGTTGCTTGCTAGCTTGTTTCCTGCTCCAACTGCACCGACTACCAGGCCAGGCGCCTCGAGATCAGATACGGACAAAAGAAGGTGCGTCTGTGTGATGTGTTTACTGGGAAGCTGAACGCAAAAATGTCAGAAAGGCTTCTTGTGAGCTTGTCTCCTGTATTTGCACTGATACGATCAATTGTGTCCGGGCTCCTTCTGGAACACCCTCTAACTACTCACATATTTGCCCCTCTTTTGTTCTTGGCAGATGAATGAGACAACGAAGCACTACTGCCATCTGCTCAACAGCACTCTCACTGCCACAGAACGCACCATTTGCTGCATCCTCGAGAACTATCAGACGGAGACAGGTGTGACCGTCCCAGAGGTGCTTCGCCCCTTCATGATGGGTGTGGATTTCATCCCCTTCGTAAACAGCCCCCCTAGTGCACCGGCGGATAAAAAAGCTGGCAAAGCAGGTGGGAAAAAGGAGAAGGGAGCTGGAGGAAAGAAAGCAGAAGCCCCAGCTGCAGCGGCTGGTGTGAAGGAGACTGCGGATAAGCTAGCAGCAGCCGCGATTGATGGAGAGAAATAAGTGGGTTATTACCATTTTCAAGCTTGATCAACACCTTGTTGACTCTGGTTGGTGATTGGTGGAGCACAGTGGCCCTTTATTATGAAATGCTTGTGATGTTTGTAAGTTCCTATTATGAGAATAAATATTGTCCGCATGTTTGCAATGGGTTGACAGGAGTGAAAATGAGTGACACAGTTGTCGCTTCACTGTTCTCCGTTACAAGCTCTTCGCCGTTGCTCAATAAAGACTGTTTCGCTGTGTGCATTGTTCTCATTCTGCCCTAGCATTTTCTACATTACGGTTCGATAAAAGCAAATCATTCCTGAGGAGCGAGTGTGCCGTGCCACTCAACCAACCCACGTCGGGTCGAGTACATTTGTCCCACCCGCAATCCTTCCCATTCCATTCACTGACTTGCTTCGCAAATCTGACATTCATACCGCAACGGCTCGCGTCTCGCTTCTAGCATATTCTCGCGTAGTCGTGCCGTTTCGTCAGCGCATAGTCAGGCGTTTTTATAGCTTCGGGATAGGCTTGGATATCACCCTGCAGCTCCGTCATAAGAAGCTGTCGTACCTCCGACTTCGCCGTCGCTGACCGAATCATAGGCGTCGTAGACTTCTTTCCCTCAGGTATTTTGAGCATCTTCGCAAATCTGCTCTTGCCACGTGGCAAGAGCAAGCAGCACCAGCTTCGAAATGATGAATTTTCCCAGTTCGACAGGTGACGATAATCATGCTCTAGACGAATCAATGGACACCATGGAAAGCCTGATGCTGAATCCGCCCGATCAGCATCCGACACGTGGCATGCCATCTGGCATGGTCGGAGATTACAGCAGCATCTTATCCTCCAGCTCATCGCAGTTTTACACGTCGGATCCTCTCGGCCAATCCTGGAACCCGCCTCCCCTACCCACGGATTCATCGCCCGTAACATCCGCCGCGTTTGGCGGGTTCCCTGACGTGGGCTTGGATCCGGCACCGCCGCCTTATCACGAGGCTCTGCAAGCGCCACGTGTCGGTGACGTCAGCAGCAGCGATATATTCTCAGGGCTAGGCTTATCCGCATCAGGCGGATTAGGAGGTTCGGATTTCGGGATTGGCATGCCTGCAAGTGGCGCCGACATTCACGGCGGAATCCCCGGTGGGGTCTTTCCAGGAGGCGTTGGGGGGTTCTCTGGTGGGAGTGGTGTGCCAGAAGCGGCATCTGCGGCGGCAAATGCGGCGGCTCTTGGGGGGGCAGCGGTTGGTACAGTACCAGGCCAAGTGACTGGAGAAAATGGCGGCGGCGGCGGCGGTGGTGGTAAAGGACAAGGGATGCCGCCCGATTTTATAGAAGTGAGAGTAGTAGGTTCCAAGAAGCTGCAGGAGGCGGGCGGCTCCATGATTCCCGGAGGGGGGTCTTACGTGGCGTATGTGATTGTGACGAAGACGAACGTGCCTGAATACGGGGCCCCGTCTGCCCGCGTGGAAAGAAGATTCCGCGAATTTGTCGCCCTGGCGGACAGGTACAAAGATTCGGTTCGGTTCGGTTCGGTTCCGGTCGGTTTGGTTTGGTTCCCCTCCCCTCCCCCACTTCTCCCTTTCCGTTCGCTGCTGCCCTACCAGTCTCTCGCACCCCGGATCCCTGAGGTTTGAGACTTCTCAAACCTCTTCTCCCCCTCCCTTTTGTTTTTCTCCACTAGACTGGCAGAAACCCATCGCGGCTACTTCATCCCGGTGCGGCCGGATAAGAACGTGGTGGTGAGTCACGTGCTGCAGGGGGCAGAGTTGACCCAACATTCAATCCCCCCCTTCCATTCTCTCCCTTTCCTTCCCTCCCCCAGACTGGCAGAGACCCATCGGGGTTATTTCATCCCGGTGCGGCCGGATAAGAACGTGGTGGTGAGCCAGTCAGGTGCTGCAGGAGGTGGTAATGACTCAAATATTCGCTTCTGTTCTTCCCCCGCTTCGTTCTTCCTCCCCTTCCCCAGACTGGCAGAGACGCATCGCGGGTATTTCATCCCGGTGCGGCTGGATAAGAACGTGGTGGAGAGCCAGTCAGGTGCTGCAGGGGGCGGAGATGATTCAGCACTCAACAACCCCTCTTCCGTTCCCTTCTCTTCTGTTCCTCCCTTCCTGTCCTCCCCTCTGTTCCTCCTCCACCTCTTCCAGACTGGCAGAGACCCATCGCAGCTATTTCATCCCGGTGCGGCCGGATAAGAACGTGGTGGAGAGTCAGGTGCTGCAGGGGGCGGAGATGGCAACACACTCATCAACCCCCCTTGTCATGTTCTCTTTTCCTATCCGTCTCTTCCTTGCGTTCCCTCCCCCAGACTCGCAGAAACCCACCGCGGGTATTTCATCCCGGTGCGGCCGGATAAGAATGTGGTGGAGAGTCAGGTTACTCCTTTCCTGCCCTCTCTACTGTGTCTCCTCAACCTTCCCCAGACTCGCAGAGACTCACCGCGGGTATTTCATCCCGGTGCGGCCGGATAAGAACGTGGTGGAGAGTCAGGTGCTGCAAGGAGCAGAGTTTGTGAAGACGAGGCAGGTGGAGCTTGACAAGTACGTGCAGCGCCTCGCTCGCCACCCTGCAATTCGCAGGTAAGTAAGATTCATTCGCCCTCTTGTTTGAGCCCTCATGTGAGTGACCTTTGGAGTCCACTTGTGAGTTTTTGAAGACGAGGCAGGTGGAGCTCGATAAGTACGTGCAGCGCCTCGCTCGCCACCCCGCCATTCGCAGGTATGTGGGAGTTGGCTGCCTTTCTAAGCTGCTTCAACGCTTCTTGGGTTTGTGATGTGAAGACGAGGCAGGTGGAGCTCGACAAGTATGTGCAGCGCCTCGATCGCCACCCCGCGATTCGCAGGTACGTTTGAGTGGCCACAAGGAACAAGGACCGTTTGAGTGTTGAGTGGCCGTTTGAGTGGCCTAGCCGTTTGAGTCCGCTCAACAGGAACAAGGAGGACCCGGTCACCTCCATCGCCTTTCTCACCTTCCTCGGTTTTTGAGCCGGGTCAATATTTCCTTGGTTCCGCCGACAAAATCCATCGGTCTCTTTACCGCCTTCCTCGTGTCCTCCTCATCCTCCCCTCCCATTCCAAAGATCTGATCGCCTTCCTGACTTCCCGTTTCCCCCTCCCCAACACACACTCCTCCCCCCCCTCCCCTCTTCTTCTCCCGCTCCCCTTTTTTTCCCCCTCCGCAGAAGCGCCGATCTGATTTCCTTCCTGACGTCATCTGACAGATTCCAGCCCGCTTCATCGGTAGACCTCGCTTCCCGCGTGCTGGAAGGTGCCGTGAAGCTTCCCCAGCAGCTGTTTGGGGCGGCAGACTCCATCACGCCGGCAGAAGCTGCCAAACCGGCGGGCGGCGGGAGGAACCTTCTCAGAATGTTCAAGGAGTTTGGGCAGTCGGTGGCGAACGATTGGACGGGCAAGCCGCCAGCTGTCAGTGGATCCACGTCAGCAGCAGGGGGAGGAGGAGGAGGAGGAGGAGGAGGAGGAGGAGGAGGAGGAGGAGGAGGAGGAGGAACGTCCACGTCAGCATTAGAAGCAGGAGCAGCAGCGGGGGCAACAGACGAAGAATCCGGAAAATCCGGCGGAAAACTACAAACGGCGCCGACCGCAGCGGAAGTCGAGGCGGACGAGGCGCGGTTTGGTTCGGCCCGAGCCAAGCTGGCAGACCTGGACAAGCACCTTGCCGAGGCTACAGCCGGGGCGGTGGGGATGATGCAGGCTCAGGACGGCTGTAGCCGCATTGTGGGATCCCTGGGCATCACGTTCGGGTCCCTGGCTAAGCTGCAGGGGCAGCGCCTGGTGGAGGGGGGCGCGGGGGGCGCAGGGGGAGGCGCAGGGGGAGTGGGAGGGGGAGGCGGAGGCGGAGGGGGAAGCACAGCAGGAGGGGGGGCAGAAGGGGGAATCGGGTCGGAGACAGGGGGAGGGAATGGGGTTGGAGGGGGAGGGGATAAGGGGGCGAGGCAGCAGGAGAGGGCGTTTGTAGCGGAGTGTCAGAACGTGGGCAAGGGCATGGTGCGCAGTGCTCAGCTGTCACACAGCGTGGTGGAGAGGAACAAACGCACTCTGGTGAGACGGTAGATGCGGTTGAATGCGGTTGGGCTGGGTTGGTTTGATTTGATCAAGGGGCACAAGGGCATGGTGCGGAGCGCCCAGCTGTCACACAGCGTGGTGGAGAGGAACAAACGCACTCTGGTGAGGCGGCTGGGTTGTTCTGAATTGGGCTGGGTTGTTCTGAGTTGGGCTGGGTTGTTCTGAGTTGGGCTGGGTTGTTCTGAGTTGGGCTGGGTTGTTCTGAGTTGGGCTGGGTTGTTCTGAGTTGGGCTGGGTTGTTCTGAGTTGGGCTGGGTTGTTCTGAGTTGGGCTGGGTTGTTCTGAGTTGGGCTGGGTTAGCGTGTGACTGCTCTAGATTACCCAGCACAGGGGTCGCAAGGGCATGGTGCGCAGTGCTCAGCTGTCACACAGTGTGGTGGAGAGGAACAAACGCACTCTGGTGAGACGGCTGGGTTGTTCTGGGTTGGGCTGGGCTGGGCTGGGTTAGCGTGACTGCTCTAGATTACCCAGCACAGGGGTCGCAAGGGCATGGTACGGAGCGCTCAGCTGTCACACAGTGTGGTGGAGAGGAACAAACGCACTCTGGTGAGACGTGATTGATTGGGCTGGGCTGGGCTGGGCTGGGCTGGGCTGGGCTGGGCTGGGCTGGGTTGGGCTGGGTCGGGCTGGGTTGGGTTGGGTTTGTGTGACAGCTCTAGGGTCTCCCACACAAGGGTCGCAAGGGCATGGTGCGCAGTGCTCAGCCGTCCCACGGTGTAATGGAGAGAAACAAGCGCACCCTGGTGATACGGGCTGGACCGCATTGCATTGCATGATACGGGCTGGACCGCACTGCATTGCATGATACGGGCTGGACCGCATTGCATTGCATGATACGGGCTGGACCGCATTGCATTGCATGATACGGGCTGGACCGCATTGCATTGCATGATACGGGCTGGACCGCATTGCATTGCATGATACGGGCTGGACCGCATTGCATTGCATGATACGGGCTGGACCGCATTGCATTGCATGATACGGGCTGGACCGCATTGCATTGCATGATACGGGCTGGACCGCATTGCATTGCATGATACGGGCTGGACCGCATTGCATTGCATGATACGGGCTGGACCGCATTGCATTGCATGATACGGGCTGGACCGCATTGCATTGCATGATACGGGCTGGACCGCATTGCATTGCATGATACGGGCTGGACCGCATTGCATTGCATGATACGGGCTGGACCGCATTGCATTGCATGATACGGGCTGGACCGCATTGCATTGCATGATACGGGCTGGACCGCATTGCATTGCATGATACGGGCTGGACCGCACTGCATTGCATGATACGGGCTGGACCGCACTGCATTGCATGATACGGGCTGGACCGCATTGCATTCCATGATACGGGCTGGACCGCATTGCATTGCATGATACGGGCTGGACCGCATTGCATTGCATGATACGGGCTGGACCGCATTGCATTGCATGATACGGGCTGGACCGCATTGCATTGCATGATACGGGCTGGACCGCATTGCATTGCATGATACGGGCTGGACCGCATTGCATTGCATGATACGGGCTGGACCGCATTGCATTGCATGATACGGGCTGGACCGCATTGCATTGCATGATACGGGCTGGACCGCATTGCATTGCATGATACGGGCTGGACCGCATTGCATTGCATGATACGGGCTGGACCGCATTGCATTGCATGATACGGGCTGGACCGCATTGCATTGCATGATACGGGCTGGACCGCATTGCATTGCATGATACGGGCTGGACCGCATTGCATTGCATGATACGGGCTGGACCGCATTGCATTGCATGATACGGGCTGGACCACATTGCATTGCATGATACGGGCTGGACCGCATTGCATTGCATGATACGGGCTGGACCACATTGCATTGCATGATACGGGCTGGACCGCATTGCATTGCATGATACGGGCTGGACCACATTGCATTGCATGATACGGGCTGGACCGCATTGCATTGCATGATACGGGCTGGACCACATTGCATTGCATGATACGGGCTGGACCGCATTGCATTGCATGATACGGGCTGGACCGCATTGCATTGCATGATACGGGCTGGACCACATTGCATTGCATGATACGGGCTGGACCGCATTGCATTGCATGATACGGGCTGGACCGCATTGGGATCGGACTGGCGAGACACATGCAATCCTGTCAGCCTCATGTGACATGCCACTCCGCATCACACTTTCAGGCACCAACTCGAATCCGCTTCTCTGGTTACACAACGTGTTTGGAACCTCCCTCCCCTACTCCTGTACTGTCCTCCCTCTCTACCTCCACCTCTCCACCCATGGATGAGCCAAAAAAAAAAAAAAAAAAAAACTATTCACCCATACCCCCCCTTTTCCTCCTTTCCCCCCTCCCCTCCCCCCTCCCCATCAGTCCATCCTCCTCGAGTACCACAAGACAACGGCCGCCGCCCGGACGGCCCTCGCCGACCGGTCCCAGGCGCTGCTGACGTGGCAGACGCTGGAGAGCGATCTGGGCGGCAAGAAGACAAAGCTGGACCGGTTAGGGTCGGTGGACGGATCAGATCCTGCCAAGCAGAAGAAGGCTCAGGAGCTTCAGAGAGAGATTCAGGCGCTTGAGAAGGCTAAAGAGGCTGCTACTAACGAGTACAGAAAGATCACTGTGAGTCCGTGTGCTCTTTAGAACGTCAAATGCACCTTTGTTTCTTTCAAACCTCGGCCGCCACCCGACACACCCTCACGCCTGGCATTTATATCGCACTTTGAGATCACCATTCTCACAGCAGGATTGCTATGCCTCAGCACTGCAGCGGTCTATGATTGACTAGCCCCTTGTTACCTGCTCTTACTCCCTTCTCCACGCCCCACGCCCATCCCCTTGCACTTACTCAGGAGCGCAACGCATCGGAGCTGCAGCGATTCGAAAGTGAGAGGAAGCAGGAGTTCCTGGCCATGCTGGGCAATTTCGTACAGGACCAGGTGCGTGTGTGTGTTGCTTCTTGTGCCATGGTTGTGGCGTTCGTTCTCGTTAACACATGCCTCACGTGTGAGGTGAGAGCGAGAGGAGGCAGTAGTTCCTTGCAATGCTGGGCAATGCTGTGCAGGACCAGACCAGGTGCGTGTGCTGCAATCCTGTGTTGCTATCCTTGGATTGTTGGGCGTTGGAAAGTCGGGAGGAGTTGAAAGGTAGTTGGGGGGGAGTCGGGACGGAGTCGGGAGGGAGTTGGGAGGAGTTGGGAGGAGTTGGGAGGGAGTCTGGAGGGAGTCGGGAGTGGATCTTCAGTTGCAAGATTTGACCATATGCAGTATCCCCCTGTACTCCATGCATGCATCCATCCATGCATGCATCCATGCATGCATGCATCCATCCATTTCTCCAGGTGCTGTGTGCACAGAAGATGGCAGCCATATGGGCACCAGCAGGGGAGGATCGGCCGTCTCAGTCCTGATACCAGAACTACTTGTTGAAGCCAGAAGGCATGCTTGCTATGCCTTAGTGCTGTGCGTGCCATGCTGCCACCCACGTCATGGGCTGTCGAAACGGAGAATGCTAGTGCGAGCTACAGTTATATCAGCGTGAAATGAGACGATTTGTCCAGGCCCCATAAAAAAACTGCCACCCACGTCATTGACAGTTGAGACGAAAATTGCTGGTGCCATTACCGGTAACAGGTGTCAAACAGCAGTTTTACAGGACTACGTACCTTTGGGTGTGTGCGGTGGTGTAGTGTTGATAAGTTCAGTTCAGAACGAACCAAACAATGCTTCACTAGTCCATGCAGAATTGATTGGCGTGTGCCTATCTTTGGGTTAAAGGTTGTCAAAATGTAATTTATCAACTACATTCGTGGTCTTGCGCCCCCCACTCCACTCCTTATCCCCCTCGTTCATGCTTGAAAGAAAGCACGCGAATCTGGTGTCATCTGTACACCCTAGTGGGGGAGATGGATGAGGGAGAAGTGCACACGAGGAATGGCATATGGAGGAATGGCATGGGAAGGAGTGATGTGGCCATTTGTATGGTGTGGACAATGCAGAGGAGGGGTTACATCAAAGAGAAGGAGTGTGGCCATGCACAGTGCAATGCTGGTGCTGGTAACCCCGCTTTCCTTACTCTTGTTACAAGGTTGATTGAGACGTCTCAGAAACTCCTTCCCTTACTCTCGTTACCCCCCTTCCCTTATTCGCTCTTCAACACTCTCCACCCACCTCCTTTCCGCCCCTCACATCCTCGTATTTACTCCCCCATTCCCCCACTCACCGCCCATCGGCGCGCTTCTCCCCCTGAATGGTAATGCACAGCTGCCTTGCGCCCCCGTAGTTACGGTGCTCGTTTAGATATATGCCCTGCCGTGTTGCATACAGATAACAATGTAAGTAATTCAAAAGGGAGGAGGGGCGGAAGGGGGGAGGAACAGGGTGAACAGGGGAACAGGGGTTCACGTAGATGCCATGCTTGTTCAGAGACGGATCAACAAGCATGCCCTGCCGTGCGGAAATCCACGGGCACACGAGATGGATCAACAAGCAAGGTAACACAGTTACCACACTTGTAGATGAATTGGAACGAGACAAACTGTTATGAGATGGATTGTAGATAGAATCCATGCTCACACTCGTGCCGCGCCGCCATGCTGCTCATACGTGCCTGTGAAGAGAGCAGCTTATAACGAGTACAAGTAACGCACCTGCCACATGCCAAGCTTGAAGCGACCAGACATGATGGGGACGGTGAGAGAGCAGCCCATCAGAGAGGACTTGACATGGGCTGCAGGGTGGGGTGGGGTGAGGTGGGGTGCGGTGGGGTGGGGAAGAAGAAACGGGTGGTGGCAGCAAGGTGAATGGTAGCACACTTGACAGCACAAGGCATGATGGGGACGGTGAGAGAGCAGCCCATTAGCGAGGACTTGACGTGTGCTGTGGGGTGGGGTGGAGTTGGGTGGGGTGGGGAAGAGGAAATGGGTGGCTGCCGCAAGGGGCGCGCACAAGTGACAGTACAAGGGCATGATGGGGACGGTGAGAGAGCAACCCATTAGCCAAGACTTGACGTGTGCTGTGGGGATAGGCAGAAGAAGAACAGGCAGCAAGAGTGGTGACGGCTTAGGGTGTGACTGCAGCAAGAATGACTGAAATGCCCACAGAAGCACAACAGCAAAAGGGGATTGTGTGAAATTGCTTTTTAAGAATTCTCAAAAGTGCGGCAGCAAGAATGACTGCAATGCCCACAGAAGCACAACAGCAAAAGGGGATTGTGTGAAATTGCTTTTTAAGAATTCTCAAAAGTGCGGCAGCAAGAATGATTGCAATGCCCACAGAAGCACAACAGCACAAGGGGATGGTGCGAGTAAACGAAGAACAGGGACAGGGGGAGGCGGAAGAGGGGGGGAGGCGGAAGAGAGGGGGAAGAGGGGGGGAGGCGGAAGAGGGGGGGAGGATGAACTGCGGTGGGAAAGGAGGAGCAACTCACCCGGCATGTCATCATAACCCTCATCTAAGTGGCGGTAGTGGTTGCCCTCCGGTGCAATGCGGTTGAGAGCAATAAGGTGGAAAGGGGTTAAAACTCACCCGGCATGTCATCATAACCCTCGTCCAGGTGGCGGTAATGGTTTCCCTCCGGTGCAATGCGGTTGAGAGCGTCTTCCATGTCCAGAGGCACGTCTGGGCTGGCATTCTCGTTGATGGTGAGACTGGCGGAGGTGTGCAGCACTGGGATTGGGTGGGGGGGAAATGGGACGGAGGATGGTGCGGAGTGGGGAGAGAACCGTCAGTGTGAGAGCCCGTAAGTGTTTGAGCGTTCTCGTTGATGGTGAGGCTGGCCGAGGTGTGCAGAACTGGAGGGGTGCGATGCGGGGAGAGGCAAGGGAGGATATGGGTGTTTCTGCGCCTGAAGGGAGGAAAGTCTGTGTGAACTGAAGGCGCACCTGTGTGAGGCTGGCCGATGCGTGCAGCACTGGAGGGTGGGGTGGGGGGGTGGTGTGGGGGAGGGGAGGGGAGGGGAGGAGAGGGGAGGGGAGGCGAGGGGAGAAAGGCCATAAGATATTCAGTGGATATTTTAGATATTTCAGAGACCGTCTACAATTTACAAGCGAATAGGCTAACCCACCAAAGATATTATTTTCTGGACTCACCGATTACATTTTTTTTTTCCGGACTCACCGAATATATTTGCGATGCCGACGCGGAACTCGGCGATCTCTGGCACGGCCCGCATGATCTGCGAGGTGATGATGTGGCAGCCTCTGATTGGTGCGGGAAAATGGAGGCATGGGGGAGGAAAGGGGGAGGTAAGGGAGGGAGCAGCGGATGTTAGGAGGGTGGGGGAGTGAGGCGGAGGGGGGAGGAAGGGGGAGGAGGAGTGGGGAAGGGGGAGGAGGGTGGAGGAGGAGTGAGGAGGGGGGAGGAGGGGGAGGAGAGAGGGGAAGAGATTGGAAAGGAGGTTTCGTGCTAAAAGTGACGAATCAATCAGATTCTGTTCTAGGTCCGCCTTATGAATGTTGCCTGCGAGGCGGAAAGCTGAATGCGTCTTGCCACGTGTACCGTTTGTAAGGCGGCAGCTCGATCGTCTTCTGAAACCACACCGTCTTCCCCGCCGCTTCCGCCGCCGCAGTTGACTGGGAGGCGGAAGAGGCGGAAGAGGCGGAGGGGGAAGAGGAGCCAAAGAGTGACGCGGAAACGCGGGTGCGGCGGGAGTGACTGCGGCGATGGTGGATACTCAGCGGCGCGGGGGGCGGAAATGCGGAGGCGGGGACAAGCGCGGAGAGCTGCGGAATCCGCGCGGCATCCGCGGCGGCGGAGTGAAACGCGCCGAGCGCGGCGGAATGAGTCGCGCCGAGCTCAACGGCGGGTGCAGCCATGATGTGGCAGCAAGAGAACGCGAGAAATGCTAGAGAGAGGCGCTACTTCGCTCGTGCCTGGCGAGTCACGGGAAACAGAAATAGCAGAAAACGGTAGATGTCTTTCGAATTCCTGAGAACCCAAGTGGTGGTGTGTGGTTGAATGCGATTCATTTGGAAGAACAAAAAGCATGCAATGGCGAGAACGCGGTGGTGTACAAATGATTCCGCTAAAAAAACCCGTTTTATTTCCACAGTAATGGACCTTTCGAGTAAATCACCGCGCGTTTTTAGGCGCCTCCAGAAGCGTCGCATCGCGCATGGTGCCTCCCGCGATTGCTGTCGCAGCTGCTGCGGCTCGGTTCGTGTCGCCCCTCTTCGCCCTAATTCCCAATCGTCCCCTTCGCCCCCTCGGTCCCCTCGGTCCTCTCGCCCCCCGTCTCTCCTCGCCGTTCCCGGATCTCCGTTCAAATTCCAGCAACGGCAACGGGGACCGCCGTTGCCTAAACACCTACACCGCATTCCCTTCGACTAGAACCTCGTTACAGTCCCGCTCGTTACAGTCTCGAGCGCGCATGGCGCCTTCCGAGTCGCTGATCTCCGCGGAAGCCCCCGCCATCGGCGGAGACGGCGGAGATTCCGAGTCGCGCGCGATTCCATGGGGCCACCCGGAGCGGCTCGACCTGGCGATGGGATCGCTGCTGGACGACAAGACGCGGCTCCGCAAGGACGTGAAGAAGGCGCTTCGAGGATTGACGGAGGAGCAACGCGCGGCAGAAGGTGAACCTCCCCACTCCCCCCCCGCTCTCCTTCCCCTCCTCCCCTACACCACCGCTCCGCGCCTGTCTTTTGAGGCGCCTCAAAAGTCCTCAAGAGGCGCCTCAAAAGTGCACCCCCCCTCTCTCCTTCCCCTCCTCCCCTTCACCACCACTGCTCCGCGTCTGCCCGTCTTCCCACCGCACTTATTCTCGTTCCCCCACCACCGCTCCCCTTTCCCGACCTCCTCGCCCCACTTTTGCCCCCCTCATTCCCCCCTGTTTACTTGAACTCCCTTCCCTCCCTCCCTCCCTCCCTCTCTCCCAATCTCCCCACCTCCCTCCGTCCTTCCTCAACCCCCCCTATCCCCCTGATCGCTTCCGCACAGACGTGGCAGTGCAGCACCACGTGTTGCAAGCTGATTGGTTCAGATCCGCCCAGCGCGTGGTGCTTACATCAGCTGCCGGAAATTAAGGGAGGTGGAGACTGCTGACGTCATCAGCGACCTGCTGGGGAGAGGAGGTGAGTGAGAGTGGATGAGACTCGATGGAAATTTTTAAATTTTCTAATAACAATTAAATTTAAAAGGTTATGGGAATCTAGCAAACTTATGGTTCTGAGACTAGTTCTCGAAATCTTATGGTTCTGAGACTAGTTCTCGAGATCCTATGGTTTTAGGCTGGGGCAAGATGTCCCCACCTCTCCCTCCCTTGCTCTCTCATTTTTTCAGCAAAGCTTATGGTTCTGAGACTAGTTCTCGAAATTTTATGGTTTTAAATGACAAGCCATCTGAGAGGTGGGGAGAGGGCAAGTTGTCCCCACCCACCTCTCCCTTGCTCTCTCATTTTTTCACCAACCCCCCTCGTTTTCATCCCCCCTGCCCTCCCTTTTCCTGGCTTGCTTGCCTCGCAGCCAGTGTGTTTGTGCCACGTGTCATGGACAGCGAGAGCCACATGGTGATGCTGAAAGTCAACTCTGTGCAGGTGGTGGGGGAAGGGCGGGGAGAGGTGGTTGCGAAGGGGGAGAACGAGCAGGAGCAAGGAGCAGCAGCAGCAGCAGCAGCAGCAGCAGCAGCAGCAGGAGCAGCAGCAGGAGGAGGAGGAGCAGCAGCAGCAGCAGCCGGCGACTTGGAGCGCAATGGGATGGGGATATTGGAGCCTACCCTGACCCTCACAGATGGACGGCCACGATCTGACGGTGAGCTCACATTCAGTTCTGAGGCGCCTCAAAACTAGGCGCCTCAAAACTAGGCGCCTCAAAACTAGGCGCCTCAAAATGGATGGGGATACTGGAGCCCACCCTGACCCTCACAGATGGACGGTCACGATTCAACGGTGAGGCCATGCTCTTTGATCGCAGTGTTTCGCTCACTGTGCCATCCGTGCTTTCATTCACACAAGGTAACCTGTGGTCCGGTCCGAGTCTTATTGCCGTTTCCCTTTTGAAGCGCAGCGCCTCAAAAATCTGTGCTCTCACATACAGGAAGGAAGGAACCTGTGATTTGATCTTATTGCCTCCTCTTTTCCACGTCTCGTCTCATTCCCATGTACATTGTACGGCAAACAGCCGCCGTTGGATCTAATTCTCGTGCACCCCTTCCTCTACCCCATCCCCACCCACACCCCCATTCACCTTCCCGTCTACAGTGTACAGTGAACAGGAGCCGTTGGATCTGATTCTCGTGCCGGGGTTGGCGTTTGATCGCAGCGGTGGGAGACTGGGGCGAGGAGGAGGGTGAGTCACTCCCTCTCTCGGCTCCCCCCCCGCCCCTTCTTCTTCCCCCCTCCCCACCCCTCCCCCCACACACCCACACCCCCCACTCCCCCACTGCCGATCTATTTCTAGAGAACTCCTTTTCTCCTGCCGTCTCCCATGCTGCACTCATTCCGCCTCCTCTCCCCATCTAATTTTGAGCCAACCCAATAATGATCGGAAAATCCTCTCTCAGTCTCTGTTGACTCACCTTTTCCTTCTTTCCATCCCTGTGCTCTTGTTTCTCACCATCCCCCTTATTGCACGCCTCGCCAAAAGGTACTACGACGTGTTTCTCTCGCAGTACTTGGCGCATGCCCAGAGCAAGAAGTGGAAGCAGCCTCTCATAGGTACGCCCCTGCTTCCTCTTAAGGTGTAATTTTGGGGCACTTCAAACATAAGTACGCTCCCTTAGCGTTACAAAGACGGGGTGAATTTTGAGTCGACTCAAAAGAAGGGTGGAAAGGAAGAGCCGCTCATAGGTACGCTCCCGTTTCCACCTGATTCTTACAGGACAATTGTCATGTCACCTTCGAGTCGAGTGTCACTCATAGGTATGGCTCGCTTGCCAGCAACTAACCGCGTTGAATTCCTATTCCCTCCCTTCTACCACTGCCGTGGCACTTGTGTACTAAGCTTAGACTTCCTGCCTTGTCTCTCCGCGCTTCTCACCCCAACACCCCCTTCCCCCATTTCCCTCCCCCCTCTTACACCCCACCGCAGTGGGTCTGGCCTACAAGGCTCAGATTCTCTCCTCGCCCCTTCCCATGGAGACTTCCGACGTCCCAGTTAGTGGCATCGTGTCTCCTTGCACCCCAGTGAACCGCATCTAACCGAACTGTACCCGCTTTCCTTCTTCTCCCTTTGCCACTACCGCAGTGGCTCTGGCTTACAAGGCGCAAATCCTCTCCTCGCCCCTCCCCATAGAGACTTCCGACGTCCCAGTTAGTGGCATCATGTGTGGTCTTCCTTGCGCCCCACTGAACCGCATCTAACCGAACTGGACTCCTTCCCCTCTTCTGCCCCCTTCAACACCCTACCGCAGTGGCTCTGGCCTACAAGGCTCAGATTCTCTCCTCGCCCCTCCCCAAAGAAACATTTGACGTGCCCGTTAGTGGCATTGTGTGTTCTGACGGCTTCCTTGCACCACATTGAATTGCAGCTGACAGAACTGGACCCCCTTCCCCACTTTCCCCCTTGGCTCTTCCCCTCTTTCCCTTTTGACAACACCCAACTGCAGTGGCTCTGGCCTACAAGGCTCAGATTCTCTCCTTGCCCCTCCCCATGGAGACCTCTGACGTCCCAGTTAGTGGCATCGTGTGTGCTGACGGCTTCCTTGCACCACATTGAATTGCACCTGACCGAACTGGACCCCCTTCCCCACTTTCCCCCTTCGCTCTTCCCCTCTTTCCCTTTTGACAACACCCAACTGCAGTGGCTCTGGCCTACAAGGCTCAGATTCTCTCCTTGCCCCTCCCCATGGAGACCTCTGACGTCCCAGTTAGTGGCATCGTGTGTGCTGACGGCTTCCTTGCACCACATTGAACCGCAGCTAACCGCAATGAACCGCATTACACCATTTTAAACCGCATTAAGGCGCGCCTCAAGCACTTAGGATGAGCCTGTCCTGCTTGTATCGTATCCGTATTGAATTCATCTGACCATAATTTAAATTGGTCTGAAAATCAGAACTCCTTTTTTTGTCAGATGGATAGAATTGGCGGGAAAATGCAAAAACCTGACATACCTCGCTGCTGCAGGTCCCAACTGTGTACGAAGCTTTCGACCGCGCACCGATTATACAAAGAATTTATCCGCCACTTCAAACCATAACGCCTACCTTACACCAAATCCCTTCCATAACCATCACCACAATGAACTGAAACCTACAAAGGCATTTTGGCACTTGCAGTCGCAGACCACTCTCTGGAGGCTAGGGCTTGTAGCACCGCTGCTGCTGTCCATTGTTTTGCTGCCTTTTTCGAGGGCATTGGTCTACCTTCGACATGAACCACCGTCGAGCCGTCACTTGCTTTAACCACACAATCCATGCAAAAGCTGCAATGTCAAAACAGAAAATACAAGAACGAACGTTCAGTAATTGGACAGCTTTAACTTACTGTGCATCCACTACAAGGTGGCTAAGGCATGAGAAGTTACATACCTGGGAGCACTTGTATTTCCGCCAGCAGGTTGACAGCTGGCACCACCAACAACTGCCTCCCCACCACCACAAGCAGCAAGGCTGGTAGAGGGACCAACGGTGGAATCTCCACCGTTGATTACGCCACCATCGGTAGATCCACCACCATCCATTGGAATGGCCCCAGCAACTCTGGCAGCAGCAGCAGCAGGGGCGCTCCCAATAGCGCCGCCACCTTGTTCCAATCCGTTACTGCCTAAGGCAGCCTCAATGTGTGCAGCTGGAGATATGATTCTCTCACTGTACACTGCCGTCCATCGCCGCGCCATGCACGTGTGATTCAGGGCAGATATAGCCGCCGGACCTGGCTCACAGCCTCGGGGCCCAACCAGGGCGTCCGGAGCAGCCAAACCCATCGTAATCCCTCCTAGTGCCGCTGTGTCTCCAGCTGCTGCTGCTGCTGCTGCAGCTGCCACCCCCACCCCTTTTCCAGACTTTCCTCGCTTCCTCTTCTTCCCTCCTGTCTTCTGCTCCCCACCAGTACACTCACTAATTCCTCCCTTCTGAGAACCACTCTCAGGCAGAACCACGTCCATCCCTGCTATGCCTTCTCCTCCTGCCTCCTTCCCCTGCCCTTCGTCATCTCCTTCCTCCGCCTGCGCCTCCCATGCGGCTCTCATAGCCCCCAGCACGCGCGCTCCCTCTGCCTCCTGATACAGCTGCCGGAAGCCCTGCATCGTCTGGGGGGAGGCGAGGGGAGGAAGAGGGAAGAGGGGAGAGGGGCGAGGGACGAATGGAAAAGGGATTACTTCCTCTCAGCACCCGCGCCCCCTCTGCCTCCTGATACAGCTGCCGGAAGCCCTGCATCGTCTGAGGGGGAGGCGGGGGGGAGGCGAGGGGAGGGAGAGGGAAGAGGGTAAGCTGAGGGCAACACCCCATCTGACTCCTGTACAGCTGCCGAAAGCCGTGCACGGTCTAAAAGGAGGAAAATAGGAAGACATTCATGTGCACACCGACTAGCTTGACGGCCCTCATAGCCCCGGCACGCGAACCCCAACTGCCTCCTGGCACAGCTGCCGGAAGCCGTGCACGGTCTGAGACGAACCCAAATACACCGAAGGGGCGGGGTCGAGAGGGACAAGTGGGCAGAGAGGTCATGCCAGCATCATCTGGTTCTCCATGTGATTTCTGGGCCCCAGCACGCACATCCCCTCTTCCTGCCCCTGCACGCACATCCCCTCTTCCTGCCCCTGCACGCACATCCCCTCTTCCTGCCCCTGCACGCACATCCCCTCTTCCTGCCCCTGCACGCACATCCCCTCTTCCTGCCCCTGCACGCACATCCCCTCTGCCTGCTGGTACAGCTGCCTGAAGCCCTGCACAGTCTGGGGGAGGCGAGGGGCGGGAGGAGAGGAGCGGAGAGGGGAGAGGGGCGAGGGGAGAGGGGAGAGGGGAGAGGGAGGGGGCGGAAGTGAGAGCAAACAGAGATTCATGCGAGCACCAGCAAGTTCAAAGGCCCTCATATCATAGCCCAAAGAGACCATCATATCATAGCCAAAAGAGACCCTCATATCATAGCCAAAAGAGACCCTCATATCATAGCCCAAAGAGACCCTCATATCATAGCCCAAAGAGACCCTCATATCATAGCCCAAAGAGACCCTCATATCATAGCCCAAAGAGACCCTCATATCATAGCCCCCAGACGTCTCCCAAGAACAAAAAGTTTCCATCAGCTGTTTGTTCCATTCACCTCATCCCGTTCACCTCATCTTATTGACCTGGCAACACTCACATCGTCACACTGACATTGTCACGCTCACATTGTCACACTCACATTGTCACAGTCACATTGTCACACTCACATTGTCACACTCACATAGTCACACTCTTTGTGCATCACACTTACCTTGGATCTCCTTAGCACTCCACCAGCTGCTTCCACAGTCGCTGCCACGTCATCCACCCCCCACCCTTCTCCCAGCACGACCCCCCTCACCTCCACTTCCACCACCACCCCCTCCTCCTCCCCTCCTCCTCTTTCCCCCACGCCTTTTTCACACAGCCCATCCTCCACTGCGTTCTCCCCATCCTCCCCTCCTCCTCCTTCCACGTCTTCTCCACACACCATCCCCCCGTCCCTGTCCCCACCCTCCTCGTCCTTCCACGCCCCATCCCCTTCCCCTTCCTCCCCTTTCCCCCACTTTCCCCCACACTCCTTCCCCCACTCCTCCCCCCACTGCGTCCCCCAATCCTCCCCCCCTCCCCCGCCCCCCTGCGCCCTAGGCAAGTAGATGGGAGCAGAGAGGGCGAGGGCGCAGCAGAAGAGGAGCAGGGCGGAGGGGGGATGGAGGGAGAGAGGATGCAGCAGAGGGATGGGGCACAGCCAGGAGGAAACCACTTGCCACGTGCGGGTGAGAGGGCACGGGGGATGGAGAGATGGAGGTGCGCGGGGGTCGAGTGCGGTGGGAGGGGTGTTTGGGGGAGTGGAGTCGAGGAAGACTGCTGCCGTGAGAGACTTGATGAGATCAGAGACGTTCTGATGGGGGGGGGAGGAGGAGGCGAGAAGGGAAGCGGGAAGGAATTAGAGGAAAGAAGAATGGTGAAGCAAGAAGATTTCTGGTATCACTGGCAACTCTGACACCAGTTTTAGGGTTACATATGGTTACACAACATAGTCATATGGTTACGGCTACGTGGTTACATGGTTACATGGTCACATGGTTCCTCGGTGGGGAAGAAGTTACCTTGGGAAACGGCTTCTGCCCTCCATCATCAACACCATCCTCGTCATCCCCATCAGCCTCCATGCCGTTGCAATGACTTCTTTTACCAATCAGGCCAGTGTTCATGGGAGCAGATCCCATGGGAGCGGGAACTGCTGAAGCAGAACGCAGGTGAGTGGAGTCCGTGTGAGCAGGATTCACGTGACTAGAACCACTGGCAACTTCCCTTTCACTCTTTCCCTCTTCTTCCCTCTGCCGCACGTCCCCATCACTCCCCTTCTCCGCAGCCCTTTCAACTGACCCAGCATCATCCATAGCAGCCCTCTCAGCAGCAGCCTTCGCCGCCCGCTGTATCCTGCGCACCAATCGCAGCAGCCCACGGCACGCCGCCAGCTGGCAGAACCGCTCCGAGTGAATCACCGCCTTGCGCAGGTTCGTCAGCTGATGCGGGGACGGCCGGGGGGCGTGCGATGACGTGGCATGTGGTGACGTGGCAGCAGGAGAATGGGCCGCCCCAAATGTTGCTCGCACCATGTGGTGCATGAGAAGAAAGTCCAGCACAGCTTCCCCCAGGAACACAAACCGCCTCTCCCACCTCAACTCCCCCTCCCTTATCGCCTCCCTCAGTATCCCCTCATCGTGAAACTGGTACACCATCGCATCCTGCAACTCCAACAGCCTATCAGGTGTTGCCACGTGGCGCCTGGGGTTCATCCTCATCCTGGCACCGGAAGGTTCAAGGAGACTGGGCTGTTGGATTTGCTGAGCTGGCTGTGCGTTGTCGAGAGGTGGTGGACGAGACTCCTGCTGCTGCTTCTGCTGCATCTGCTGCTGCTGCTGATGATGCACCCACTCCCCTTCACGCAGCTTGGCCCGCTTCTCTGGTGGCTGAAGCGGCAGCAGGGACGCCTCTACAGGTGACTCCCATGCGTGCTTGCTGCCACACAACCTTTGCTCCAACTCTGCTGCATTTTGAGGCGCCTCAAAATACACCTCACTGGACGCCTCTACAGGTGACTCCCATGCGTGCTTGCTGCCACACAACCTTTGCTCCAACTCTGCTGCATTTTGAGGCGCCTCAAAATACACCTCACTGGACGCCTCTACAGGTGACTCCCATGCGTGCTTGCTGCCACACAACCTTTGCTCCAACTCTGCTGCTGCCACTGCTGCTGTTACCTCTTCTTCTTCTTCTTCTTCTGCTGCTGCTCCTGTCGTTTCTACTGCCATATCTGACTTTCCTGCAACTCCTATTACTCCTTCCTCTGCCACTCCCTCAACGCCTCCCTCCACCATCCCCTCCCCCCTTCCCATCACCATTCCCTCCGCCCCTGTCCCCCTCCACGTCATCTCTCCCCTCAGCAGCTCCCCCACGCCTTCCGTAGGCAGGCCCAGCCACCTCAGCACCGGCAGCGCCATGTCAGCACCGCCGCATCGCCAGCTGGCGCCCACCAGGGCCTCTGCCACGTCAGCGAGCGTCTTCTTGCCCAGCTGGCGCGCTGACTTGGCGGCGGCTGCTGCCTGCGCCGCTGCCAGCGAGGCGAAAGCAGAGTCCATAAGGGCTTTCGGGCTAGGAGGAAGGTTCTGGGAAGCTCGAGATGGGGATGAAGGAGGAGACGCTGTTGCTTGTACCTGAGTGTGTGCGAGGGGTTCTGAAAGCGAGTGTGGTGGGGGGAGTGAGTGAGAGAGCGAGTCAGCCAGAAGCAGCACAGCGTGGGAGGAGGGGACGAGAGGGCCCATCCAGTCGGAGGGTCTGAAGGGCTTGCAGCGGACGAGTGCAGGCACTCCGGCTTTAACTGCCAGCGCTGCCAGGTGCTTGTTTGACACCAGCTTCACGCACTGCCCCTTCATGTCATCATATGTCGGCTGGGTAGGCTGGCTGTGCAGCGCATGTGATGGCATCGAGGCATTTCTCTCAGTGTATGCTGCTGAGTCGTTGCTCCCATCACTCTGCCCATGCCCATGCCCGCCATGTGGCGGCTGACGTGGCAAGCTAGTGGCGAACAGGTGGCAGGAGGCGGCGAGCTGCACGCAGCTGTCACCAAGCACCTCGTCGCTCTCGTACGTGCCCACGCCGCTCTCTGTTGTGCCGGGGCATGTCAGGGCACGCAGGAGCTGAAGACAGGGGTGGGGAGGGAGGTGGGTGTTCGCTTGGTGGGTGAATAGAGATGGGAGGGAGCACTGAGCTGCACGCAGCTGTCACCCGGCACTGCGGCGCTCTCGTATGTGCCCACACCGCTCTCTGTTGTGCCGGGGCATGTCAGGGCGCGCAGGAGCTGAGGGGGGAATGGGGTACAGGGTGTGGTGTGAGTGGGTGGGTGGACAGGGGTGGTTGAGAGGCATTGACGGCAGCACTCAGCTGCACACAGCTGTCACCCAGCACGCACTCTCATACGTACGTACGTCCCAACACCTTTTGAGAATTCTCAAAAGTCGCACCAGCACTCAGCTGCACGCAGCTGTCACCCAGCACGCACTCTCATACGTCCCAACGCCGCTCTCCGTAGTGCCGGGACAGGTGAGGGCGCCCAGCAGCTGAGACAGGGGGAAGAGGGGCGCGGGTGTGCAGTGCAGTGCAGTGCAGTGCAGTGCAGTGCAGTGCAGTGCAGTGCAGTGCAGTGCAGTGCAGTGCTGCAGTGCAGCGCAGTGCAGTGCAGCGCAGCGCAGTGCAGTGCAGTGCAGTGCTGCAGTGCAGCGCAGTGCAGTGCAGTGCAGTGCAGTGCAGTGCAGTGCAGTGCAGTGCTGCAGTGCAGCGCAGTGCAGTGCAGTGCAGTGCAGTGCAGTGCAGCGCAGTGCAATGCAGTGCAGTGGTGCGACTCACATCAATAGCAGGAAAATGCGGTTCCTGCTGCTGCTGACCCTCCCTGCGCTCGCCACCACCACAGCTCCGCCCCTGCCGCTCACACCCATACTGCCGCACAAGGAACCGCCGAATGTCCCGAGCAGTGAGCAGGCAGTCAAGGCGGGAGAGCAGCGAGGGGAGCAGCGAGGCAAAGAGCACGTGCTGCAGTGGCAGCACGGGTACCAGTAGCTCCAATGGGAGGTGTGACGTCTGCCGACTCCTTGCCTTCTCCTTGCCCTGCTGCTGCTTCGCTGCCTCCTCCTGCTCCGTGATTTGCTGCTGCTGCCCTGTGCCTTGCTGCTGCTGCTCCTTCTCTGCTGTAGTCTTGTCTACTGCAGCCGTGTCTGCTACAGCCGTGTCTGCTACAGCCGTGTCTGCTACAGCCGTGTCTGCTACAGCCGTGTCTGCTACAGCCGTGTCTGCTACAGCCGTGTCTGCTACAGCCGTGTCTGCAACAGTTATATCAGCTACAGCCGTGTCTGCTACAGCTGTATCAGCTACAGCCGCCCCCACTGTAGCGCTGGCAGGTACAGGCATCTGCTCCTCTCGCCCTAACTGGACCGCCCTGTTTACGAGATCTAGAGTGTCCACTGCGTGAGGGGTGATGCAAGAGGAATGCACGGGGATACCAACGGGGATACAGGGGGGGAAGGAAAAACAAGCAAGGTGAGATAGAACGCACATGAGAAGGTGGGGTGGGGCAGGGGATACCTTTGGAAGGCAGACGAGCAGGGGGGTGGGAAAGGGTGGGGAGCGGTTTGGTAGGTCTGGCTGGAGTGAGCAACGGATAGCCCAAACCATGAAACAAAACATGCACAGGCAAGCACGGGAAAGCGAAATGAGGGACATAACGATGCACATCTGGAGGCAAGGCACATACAGAGACACAGTGTCAGCAGCAGCAGCAGCAGCAGCAGCAGCAGCACAGGTACTTACATTCTGGTGGTGCCTGCAGCAGCAGCAGTGCATTGCGCAGCTCTGGCTTCAACTGGCATGCAGCGAACAGGGGCTGGTCGGGATGCTGCAGCGATATGCCGTACCTGGTGAGGGGGGTAGGTGTGTCAGGGTTAGGGATGTAGGGGCAGGGTTGTAAAGGGTGCAGGGGGATGGGGATAGGGCTGTTATGGGTGTAAGGGTCAGGGTTTCGGGTGTAAGGATTAAGGTGTGAATGTGCAATAGGGGCTTGGCAGTGTCTGCAGCAGCAGCAGTGCATTGCGCAGCTCTGGCTCCTACTGGCACGCAGCAGACAAGGGCTGGTCGGGATGTTGCAGCGATATGCTGTACCTGGAGATGAAGATGCCAGGGTTTAGGTTTCAGGGTTGGAGGGGTAGGGATGTATGGGGTATAAGGATTCAGGGTGTGACTGTGTGGTACGGGTTTGGCAGTGTCTGCAGCAGCAGCAGCAGCGCATTGCGCAGCTCTGGCTTCTACTGGCATGCAGCGAACAGAGGCTGGTCAGGATGTTGCAGTGTTATGCCGTACCTGGTGATGCGTTAGGTAGGGGTGTTACGATGAGGGCTCAGGGGTGCAGAAGGGAGGGGTGTAGGGTAGGGTAGGTAGCACAGCGATATTCCATAACTGTATTTTTTACATTTATCAAACAGAAAGGTCATGGGGTTCGGGGGCTGCGAGTTTAAGCTCCGGTTCTTTTGAACAAAAGTGCTCAGCTTATGTGCTCACCTTAGAAGAATGCGGCAGAGCGTGTGCAGCAGCAGTTGGGACGGCACAGAGACAAGATTGCTCCACTCGAACAACGGGGCTGGCAGGGTTGGGTGCACTCACAGGTTGAGCAGTGAGACTTAATCGAGGGGCATGCGAGGCATGATTGAGGGATGGGACATGTGTGCACTCACTGATTCTGGAAGTAGTGTTGGAACGTCCCTCCCTGCGGCCCCACGAACTCACTGCGTGCTGTCCTCCCTTCCGGATCCCTCCCCACTAACTGGTACACCAGACGCGAGTGCACCGCACATGCCACCATGCCGTGCAGATCCCGTTCGCCCACAGGCCCACGCGCACACACGAGCAAGGGCGTGGTAGCAGGGGCATTGCTTGGAGCAGCAGCATCTGCGCATGCCACCATGCCATCCAGATCCCGTTCGTCCACAGGCCCACGCGCACACACGAGCAAGGGCGTGGTAGCAGGGACATCCTGAGTGGTGTTTGGAACAGCAGCAGCATCACCAGCAGGAGCAGCAGCATCACCACCAGCAGCAGCAGCAGCAGCAGCAGCAGCAGCAGCAGCAGCAGCAGCAGCAGCAGCAGCAGCAGCAGCGGCACCACCACCAACATCAGCACCATCAGCATCACCAGAAGCAGCACGTGCACGGCCTTTCAAGGCCGCACTACTGCCTCCCAGAGACAACACCTTGTCCACCATTCCCCAGTCGATTCTCCGCATCAACATGCGCATCATATCATCATCCCCTCTCCCGCGCTCCCCTCCATCCACCCCTTCGCCTTCCTTGCCTGCATTCGTCCCTCTCCCTTCCTTCCCTCTCCCATCAGCCTCTCGCAAGTCTGCGGCTGTCCCTTTGCCTCTTTCGTCCCCTCCTCCCTCCCCCAAGCAGGGCAGCACGAGGCAGTAGTGGGATGCGGTCCAGAAGGCGCCAAAGGGGCGCACAGCGGTGCTGATGGGCGTGGGCTGGGTTCCAGCAGAAATATCAGCTGCATTCGCGGCAACCGCTGCTGCTGCCGCCGATCCAGGTGAACCAGCAGCAGACTCAGCAGTAGCAACAGCAGCAGCAGCGGCAGCTTGGGCGAGGGTGGGAGCATGGTGCATCAGGTCCCATCGGTCCAATGCCATGCCGAACAGATGCATGTGGTAGCACATGGCGCTGGTTAGCTGAGGGAACGGGGGAGAGAAGGGGAGAAGGCAGAGAAGGGGGGGTGCAGGTAGGTGTAGAGCTCATGTGTTCTGACACCTGCAAGACCTGAACCTGAACCAGAACCTGAACATCAGAAATCGCCTGAACCATCTGAACTGAACCACCTGAACCACCTACCTGAACCACCTGAATGGTCTGAGCACAACTGACCTGTTGAGGCGAGAAAGCGAGGGCTCCAAGAGGGGAGAGGCGGACCGATCCCGAAGCAACTGAAGGGGGTTGCGATGCTGGGTGGTGCGGAACCGCAGGTGAGACGCCGGCAGAGGGAACACCAGCAGTCAGAGCTGCAGTAGCAGCAGTAGTCACGCCAGCAGTCACGCCAGCAGCAGTCACGCCAGCAGCAGTCACGCCAGCAGTCACGCCAGCAGCAGTCACGCCAGCAGCAGTCACGCCAGCAGTCACGCCAGCAGCAGTCACGCCAGCAGCAGTCACGCCAGCAGCAGTCACGCCAGCAGCAGTCACGCTAGCAGCAGTCACGCCAGCAGCAGTCACGCCAGCAGCAGTCACGCCAGCAGCAGTCACGCCAGCAGCAGTCACGCCAGCAGCAGTCACGCCAGCAGCAGTCACGCCAGCAGCAGTCACGCCAGCAGCAGTCACGCCAGCAGCAGTCACGCCAGCAGCAGTCACGCCAGCAGCAGTCACGCCAGCAGCAGTCACGCCAGCAGCAGTCACGCCAGCAGCAGTCACGCCAGCAGCAGTCACGCCAGCAGCAGAGCCTGAAGCTGTAGCAGCTAACCCCACATCTGTAGCCGTACGTCTTGCATCTGTAGCAGCAGCGCAAGCTCCGAGATACTTGGAGCACAGTGGAACTTCCATGTGTGCCACGTCAGCATCCAATGGGCCTATGGCAGGCGACGTCAGCAGCATGAACCCGGAAAAGCACTCTGTGCTGCATGTCCCGTTATAAGCATCCCCACTACTGGAGCTCGAGTTGGAGGAGAAGAAACGGAGAGAATAGGCATGGAAGGGACCGATAGGACTTGCTGGGATGGTAGGTGTGGCTTCTGCTACTGATGGCTCATTTGTCGAAGCTGCTGATGGCGCTGCTGTTGGTGGTGAATCATCTGCTGACAGCGCCGCTGCTGTTGCTGCTGGGATGGGTACTGCCGGTGACATGGCAGCAGGCGTTGCACGGTCCGCCATCATGCGGAGACAAGATTCACAGAAACGGCACGCTGAACCTTGTTCAATGACAACGCGGTGCAGCGATCTAGAGAATCTAGGAAAAATCAGCTCATCACTGAATCATCGCAATCTGCAGCGAAGGGAAACTTCTGCTCCGTCTGATCAGCTGCTCCGTCTGATCAGCTGCTCCGTCTGATCAGCTGCTCCGTCTGATCAGCTGCTCCGTCTGATCAGCTGCTCCGTCTGAAATCCCAGTCGGCTACCGGCGTGTAGCTTTCCGTGGGTTAGCGTAGGCTACAGCCATGTGGCTCATTCGAAGCAGCGAGTACGGCGGACGAGAACAGCGGACGAGGAGGTTGAGCGTACCATAGATTTTGACGGAGAGGGAGGTATCAGTTCTGTAGTGAGGATGCGTTTTTCACTGTAATGTGAACTTATTCGAGAAGCAGTGTTCTAAGAATAAGTGCTTATTTCGTGAGCATAAAAGGAAATATAAAATGACATTAAGACATTAGTCACTCACACAATACTTTCTTTCTAATACATAAAGTTCAGGCACCAATGATTTCATGCAAGCTATGCTGAAAAGCGAATAGGGGATCCAAACGCTGTACCGTCGCCTAAGTTACGCTTGTGCGATCTACACATAGGCACCACTGCCACAAAGGGAGACGATTTCTTGGTCGGCTCGGCTCAAAATGCGCTTGTGCAAGCTGCGCATGGGCACCACCACAAATGAAGCACATGCCTTTCTCCTCATCTCCTTCCCCGCGCCTCCCCACTTGCAGCATGACCTTTTCCAGTCGACTAAAACTCATCCCGCTTGTGCAAGCTGCGTATGGGCACCACCACAAATGGAGCACGTGTCTTTCTCCCCTCTCTCCCCTCTCGCTTCCCCACTAGCAACATGACCTATGAGTCGACTCAAATGTCATCCCGCCTGTGCATGCTGCGCAAGGGCACCACCACAAAGGCAGGACGTGTCCTTCTTCCCTCTCTCCTCCCCCCAGCTTCCGCACTTTCAGAAGCTTCCAACCCGCTCGGAGAATCAGCTGCTACGAACCGCCCGTGAATCTGGCCGCAACTCAAGCTCTTCACAGGGATCTTAGCAGGAGGAAGGTTCCATGAAGGCCTGAAAGGAGGATTTGTTGAGATCATTCGAGACGTGGGTGGGGAAGCACGGGAAGACCGGGAAAGTGCAGCAGCAGCTACGGCGGCACCAACAACAGAAGCACCACTAGCAGAAGCACCACTAGCAGAAGCACCAGCAGCAGAAGCACCACTAGCAGAAGCACCAGCAGCAGAAGCACCAGCAGCAGAAGCAGCAGCAGCAGCAGCACCTTCTAGGGCCGTTGTTCCCTGACTAACCTCAGCAGCTTCACCAGCGATCTTATCAAAAATAGACCCTGCCGGCCTGCGAATGGCACTTGCAGCCGCAGCAGAAGGATCCGCAGCACGAGCAGCAGCAGCAGCACGGGACGTGGAAGTTTGTAGCAAGCTTGTGGTGTCAACAGCAGCACGGAACGTGGAAGTTCGGAGCGGGCTTGCAGTGTCAACAGAAGCGCGGATGCCAGCAGAACGAATGTCCGCATGCCACGATGCCCTTCGTCTCATGGGCCGGTAACCGCCTCCTCCCGGTGATTTAGGGGCAGATGGGCTATCCGGGTCAATATTCCAGGACACACGCTTGCTGGTTCCTGGAGAAGCTGCGGTGGTGCTGGCTGATTTGAGGCTGGAGCGGCGACCAGAGGGGGATAGAGTGTCACTGCTGAGAATTCCCAAAAGTGAGTCTGACGAAGCTGCAGTGGCGCTGGCTGATTTCAGGCTGGAAACGTGAGCAGAGGGGGATAGGGTGTCCAAAAGTGACTCATGAATTCTCAAAAGTGAGTCTGATGAAGCTGCAGTGGCGCTGGCTGATTTCAGGTTAGAAAGGCGAGCAGAGGGGGATAGAGAGGCCGTGGAGGAATGAGAGGGAGTGAGAGGTGATGGGGATGAGGGAGGGAGATGGGGGGATGGAGATGAGGGAGTGAGAGGAGGGGATAGAGAAGGACGGGGTGACTTAGAAGCAGGGGGTAGAGTCAATTTCGAAGGCGAGTGACAGTGGCTGGGAGGAGAGGAATCAGCAGGGTGCGTAAAAGGCCATGCTCCATTTCTCGCAACAGTTTCTTCTACAGTTTCTGCCACAGCATGCCCATTCTCGGCAACAGCAGCAGCTGTAGCTATGGCCGTGACTCCAGGAACAAATCGCGAGTTAACAGTTGCCGCCGCTGCTTCTGCTGCCGCTGCTGTTGCAACCTTATCAGCAGAAACGGCAAGCCGATCAATAGACCCAGAGCTGTGATGCCCGTGATGCCCGTGATGCCCGTGATGCCCGTGATGCGAATCTGAGTGGTGCTTCATCATGGAAACAAACTCGTGAATGTGAAGCCAGTCCTTGTGCTTCGCCATCGAAGCAGCGTCGTGGCTGTGATGCCAGTCTCTGAAGTCGTGATTGTGAAGCCAGTGTTTCAAGTCGTGAATGTGAAGCCAGTCCTTGTGTTTCATCGAAGAAGCACCGTCGTGACTGTGATGCCAGTCAATGTGCTTCATCTTCGAAATAAAGTCGTGAATGTGAAGAAAGTCTGTCACTGAAGCAAAGTCATGGCTGTGGTCGTGCCGTGCAGCCCCACCTCTTACCCCTCCTCCTCCTCCTCCTCCTCTCCCTTCCCCTCCCCCTCCTCTTTTTCCTCCTCCTCCTCCTCCACCTCCTCCTCCCCCATCCCCTCCCAGCCTACCAGACACCAACCCCGGAAGCCCATAGCTCTCGGGGGGAGCAATCAGCCTCCACACGCCCGTGTCGCTGAGATTCGATTCGGATCTGCTCTGGTGGATTTGGTACGCCGCCCGGCTGGAGCCCGCAGCCTTGAATGGTAACGGAGCAGCCTTAGACGATAACGAATCTAACTTAAACGAGGCTGAAGGCGAGGGACGGTCGGAGCTTGAGTGCAGAGCAGATGGAGAGCGCAAGGGAGAGGAGGAGGGAGAAAGAGCGGGAGAGGAAGAGGGGGAAGAAGAGGGAGAGGAAGGGAAGGACCAAGAGGGAACCGGCAGAGAGTTGGAGGAACGGGATGAAGGTTCAGGCCTGTGGGAAATCCCATCCTGCTGCTCCTTCTGCTGCTCCTCCTCCTCCTGCTGCCGCTGTTTCTCGGGCAGGTGCGAGCTGCCGTGGTGTTTCTTGAACAGGTGCAAGCTGCCATGATGTTTCTCGGGCAGGTGAGAGCTGTCGTGGTGTTTCTCGGGCAGATGAGAACTGTCATGATGTTTCTCGGGCAGGTGAGAGCTGCTGTGGTGTTTCTTGAACAGGTGCAAGCCGCCATGGTGTTTCTCGGGCATATGCGAGCTGTCATGATCATTCTCGGGCAGGTGTGAGCTGCCATGGTGTTTCTCGGGCAGGTGAGAGCTGCTGTGGTGTTTCTTGAACAGGTGCAAGCCGCCATGGTGTTTCTCGGGCAGATGCGAGCTGTCATGATCATTCTCGGGCAGGTGTGAGCTGCTATGTTGTTTCTCGGGCAGGTGAGAGCTGCTGTGGTGTTTCTTGAACAGGTGCAAGCCGCCATGGTGTTTCTCGGGCAGATGCGAGCTGTCATGATCATTCTCGGGCAGGTGTGAGCTGCTATGTTGTTTCTCGGGCAGGTGAGAGCTGCTGTGGTGTTTCTTGAACAGGTGCAATCCACCATGGTGCTTCTCGGGCAGGTGCGAGCTGTCATGGTGTCTCTTAAACAGGTGCAACCTCCCATGATGTTTCTCGGGCAGGTGTGAGCTGCCATGATCTTTCTCAGGCAGGTGCGAGCTGCCCTGCTGTTTCTCGGGCAGGTGCGAGCTTTCGAGGTGTTTCTCCGTGCGTTTGAGAACAGGCTTGCGCAGGGTGGCACAGAGGATTCGCCATGTGCTGTGCGCATGCAGCACCGTTTGCTCCGCTTCCTTTGCTTGCTCCGTCTGCTCCGCTTCCCTCGCTTGCCTTGCTGCCTGCTCCGCTCGCTCTGCTTCGTCTTCTTCCCTCGCAGACATTCCCCATTCCTCTGTTCCTAGCGTCACGTGTCCGATCATCGAACCTCGACCGTCCATTCGTGAGATTCGGATCAGGGTTCCTCCTCCGCTTCTGCCGCCCCACGCTTCTCTCTCCTGGCCCTTAGGTCTCGAGTCTTCAAGTCCGGATTGACTTCCACGGATCAGGGTTCCTCCTCCGCTTCTGCCACCCCACGCTTCCCTCTCCTGGCTCTTAGTTTTCGAGTCTTGATCACCCGATTTTCTTCTCCCCGCCTCCACTGCTTCCGCGGGGGAGGGAGAGGGGGAGGCGCCGAAGCAGGGACTGGGGGAGCGACCTGCGGGGACGGGGGACACCCGGTAGTGGAAGAGGGGGAGGGCGAGGAGAGGGAGTAAGAGAAGAGCGCGGGAGGGAAAGGTGGGGAATTGGGAGGGGGGGAAGAGGCGAAGGGGACGGGGGAGGAGAAGAGGAAGGGGGTTTAGTTGGAGACTTTTCTCTGTAAGCTTTGTGAACTTTCTAGAAAGCGTTTTCGATTTTCGTTTGCGTCATTTTTTAATTCGCAATCATTTTCGTTTCTCTGCATCTCGCAGTCATCCAGTGGACGGGAGCGCACAAAGTGTGGAACGACGGGAAACGCGGGAAGGGAAGGAATAATTACATGCTCTTGTAACGAACACAGAGGGAATACGAGGGGGGGAGGGAGAAAGAAAAACAAGGGGCGAGCAAGGAGGGCAAGGAGAGCAAGGAGGGGGCCGCCCGTGAGCAAAGGGGGAATATAGGGGCGAGAGTTTTTATAAGGGGTTGGGAGGTGAGAGAGAGGGGGGGAGGAAGGGGAGGGGGCTTGGAGACGGTAGTTGAAATTACCAGTTCTGGCGTACCTGGTGCCGCGATTTCGCCAAAGAATTCCAATTCTTTCGCCCACTCGCGAACGCGATCCAACAAATCGCGCAGGTAATGTTTCAGCTGCCCGCTCGTCACCAACTCGTCGTCCGCCGCGATGGTTACAATCCTCCACGAAATCGGCATGCTGTTTCGCCCGGATCCCAGCAGTCGCAGGGGCATCGCCAGCAGCGGAAGAACGTCGTACACGTCACCAGGTTCGCGCGCCTGCGAACCAATCTCTAGCGCCTCCAGCGGCACGTTGTCGCACGCCGTCAGAAAGAGCGAATCGCGGAGCTCCTTAACAGAATCACCATCATTCGCATCAGAATCACGCTCGCTAACCCCCGGCTCGTCCTTGCAGCCGCCCGAACCGCCAGAATCACCATCATTCGTATCCCAGCGGGAAAACATCGACATGGATCGCGACGCGAGCACGCACGTCTGCGGCAGGATGCCCAGATTCCACGGCGACGCCTCCAGTAGGAGCGCCGCCGCCGACGACGACGATTGCGACGGCGATGGCGATGGGGACGACGACGATTGCGACGACTCGCAATCGGTCAGCACTTTGATACGACTGCCGTCTAGGCCCAATACGATCGCCTTCCGCTTCTCCCGCAGGAAAAGGGGGTCGTCGAGGCGCTGAAGTTTTTGGCTCCCGCGATCGGCGGAGGGGGATTTGGCGGAGGGAGATTTAGCGGAGCGGCAGACGAAGGAGAAGGCGGAGGTGGGGAAGGGGGAAGCGCGGTGGCCCGCGGAGGAGGAGGAGGAGGAGGAGGAACTGGCGGGAGAAGAGGGAGGCTGAGGATCATCGTGATGATGATGTTGATGGCGGCGACTATGATGGCGCGAATGATGATGATGATCATCATCATCGTTATCATCATGACCATGATGGTGGTGATGATGACCTAAATCCTCATCACCGTGATGACGATGATGGCGACGATGATGATCATTATCGTCATCATCATGGCGGCGATGGCTATGATGATCCTTATCGTCGTGATGATTATGGCGGCGATGGTGCAGCCGTGCGGAGAATCCGGAGCGGGAATGGGTTCTCGCAGACGCAACGGGAGGCGGAGGCGGAATGAGGAGGATGTCGTGCCAGATGGAGGACACGTGGCCACCGTTGATTAGCGGGAGAATGCTGGTGGACGATCCGACACTCCGAGTCGCCGCCATGATGAAGTTATAGTAGTAACTAGTAGGTATTGTGAGGCAGCAGTGAGCTACCCGTATGATGCGAGGGTCATGGGGCGGGAATAGCCTACTTGATGAGAAAGGCGACTCAGGTAGTGAGAAATTACTACTATACTGAATAAAGGCTTCGATCCCAGCTTCTCATTCCCAGAGGCTTCTGAGAATGAGAGATAGTAGAAGCGTCGAATTGGTTGGTCGAATCGCCGCGGTAATTCATCCCAAGGGCGGAGCCGCGGTGAAAATGGCGCGAGCAGCAGTGGTCCCTCCGACTCGGAGATCTGCATATCGTGCAGACGGAAAAACGACGACGTCGGCCGACAACCCCGATATCGAGTTCTATCGTTATTCGACTCTTGTCTGGTGCTTCCGTCCGCAGAGTAACGCTCGCCGCTCGTTCCGGCCTGGGAAGCAGCCATGTGGGGAACCAGCCAATCAAAACTCTCAATCACCCACGATCTGCTCTTTGATCTGATCGCGGAAGCGTACGGCGGGCTCTTGTGCGACTGAGCAACTCGTGAAAGAACACGCACGCTACAGTGGAAGTAAGTTGTCGTGGCGTGGTGGTCCTAAAGATTATTGTACGGATGCGAGTTCTTTGCAGGATGCATGTCTCTCGCTGTAAAGGCGATTCGGGTGTCACTCCCGAATAGTCAAGTTGAGTTGAGTGGTCTGGGTTGAGGGAGTGAAGGTTTCGTGTGGTTCAGATCAATTTATGTTTCAAACAAGCGGTTGGATACGATTGTGTGCAATCTGGAGCGGTACATTGTTTCACCACACAGGATCAGCTTGAAAATTCATGATGTACACGAAGCGTGACTAAACTCTCGAAAGGTATTGGCAGGAAATATAGGCAGCCTGGGAAACAGCGATTTCGTGATTGGTTTGCAGTTTGGATGGAATATCGCAAAACGAGGCAGATGCAGTTCCGAGATTCTACCAAACTAAGGAAAATTCCTTTTCCTTTCTTCGCGTCCCTGCTCAGCGCGTACACCACTGTTCCCGCCAACAGCACCCAACAGTAATCCGTTACCACTCGCGACACTCGCTTCGACACTGTTCCCGCCACTGTTCACGACGCGACCCAACCTCACGGTTCGGTTGGTAACCCGCGCTCCGGACCTTCGCCTCGCCACTTTCCCAACCTCGGCGCCAGGCCCGTCGCGCACCCCAATTTCCACGCATTACCGTTACCACTGTAGTTTCGCTATATATTCTTCGCTCATGCCTTCGCTCATTGTACTTTTGCTTCGATAGTGCAATTCTCGCTCGCTCACTCAATTGCACTCGTAACACTTGGTATTCAGAGCCTACGATCTCTTCTCGGACCGCACCCACACCTTCGCTTCCCCACTATCTCAATTTTTTGGGGGGGATAGACGTCTCTCAGCGACACAGCACCGCCGCTCGTAGTGCTCTCTCGTAAGCACGCACGGCCACGACAGAGGCTCTCGCTGAGCTCGCCCGACACCCCCGCCATGGCCGAATTCACTCTCGCAACATTGACGCAGGAGCAGCTCGACCGTCTGGTGCGCCAAGTTGAAGATTCGGCGCTCGAAATTGCGACGCTCACGGCGGAACGTGACTCCGCGCGTCAGCAATCTACGACGAACGCTCCAGCGTCACAAAATGCACCTGCACAATCGGACGAGCCGATCGTCATCTCGTCCGGCACACCAACACAACATGACAGCGTGGGACAGCGCTCAGGAGCAGCCAGAGATAGCGCCGCCCAACCAATGCCTGGCATGGGAAGAAACCGGGTCGCGCCAAGCCCGCGGGAGCCTCGTGAAGCCCGTCGGCACGTGGAGTTCGCGGCAACAAGTGGCGATCATGCCATTATGGCACCAATGCCACTCAAGCCGCAACGCCCGCCCTGTTTCGACCCGAGCCAGCGTGGAGGTCCGACGGTTCAATCGTGGATCTTCACGATGAACGTTTTCTTCGACGCAAATTACGTCGAGTCGGACGCAGCGAAGATTCGATACGCCGTTTCGCTGCTGAGGGGCCCCGCCATGGACTGGTGGCGAGTCATCGTGACGTCGCCACGCGCCTACGAGCCACCGTCGCAAGAGGAAGGGCCCACGGGTCCAGCCGTCACCTGGAGTTCGTTCTGTGAAACCGCCTAGTACAGCACGTGGGATGCGTGGTGCGTAGGGCTTCGGGCGCGCTTCGAGCCAATCGCGGCTTCTATTTCGGCGCGTCAGAAACTACGTACTTGGCGACAGCTCGGGTCGGTTCAAGACTACACGAGCGGTTTTCTCGCATTATGTGAGCAAGTCGGCTACATGCACGAAGCGGAGCGGGTGGACCGTTACGTCGGAGGGCTGAAGCCGGACATCTCGCACGAGATCATGCTACGCGGGCTCTCGAACTTCAACGAGATTCTCGCGCTCGCCGAGAAAATCGACATTTTGCGCCGTCCGAGACCGGGGTCCTACTACGGACATCGTCCTCCGGGACCGATCGAGCACGCCACCGTACACGCCGTTGCGACGAATGCAGCTGCCGCACCGTTTAAGGGGCGCTGCTTTGCTTGTAATAGGCCGGGCCATCGCAAGAGCGAATGTCCAGAGGAGCTGAGGCGTCGCGGAGTAGAGCAGGGGAGGGAGTCTCAGAGACAGGGAAACGCCAGCAGTCAGTAGAAGTTGGGCCAACTACTGACGAGACTGCCTGCTCGCCCAACTGCACCGACCCTCACCGAGTCACAGTACCGATTCACGCCATCGATCGGGCTCGGACGAATAAGGAGGGTACAGCGACGGATTGCCCAGTACTGATCCACGGGAAAATACAGGGAGCAGCAGTGAAGATTTTTATCGACGGAGGAGCAAGTCACAGTTTAGTTAATACCGCAACCGCACGGAAACTGCAACTGACTCTTAGCCGGTGCTTACCAGAGATCGATGCACGTTTAGTTGACGGCACGCCGCTGGCCATACGGGAGAAGGTGGAAAGAGTAAAAGTTCGCTGTGGGGGAAATTTCGGGTTTACACAAGAAATGCTCGCGACGACATTGGATGGGCACGACATTTTACTGGGACGTGATTGGCTGCGACGGTATAACCCGCGAATCGACTGGACGACGGGTAGCTGCACTGTGCGAAGTAGCGGTAACTGGGTCGCGCTACCTCGCTGGCAGTCGCCCGAGTCTTCAACGGTCCACGTCAACGCCATCACAATGAAACGGGCAGTCGCCGCTGGAGCTGACGTGTACGCAGTGGACATTGCAGTAGTGGGAGAAGCCGAGCAGCCGAACGATTTTCAGAAACTGCTGGCCGCGGTACCACCTGAACTACAGGAGCTGTTGAAGCGGTACCCGGGGATTTTTCCCGACGACTTACCGGAGGGACTGCCACCTCAGCGGGCGCACGACCATAGGATAGAGCTAGAACCGGGGCACAGCCAACTGTACAGCGCCAGTTCAGACTGACACAGCCCGAGCTCGACGAACTGAGGAAGCAGTTAGATTATTTGTTAGAGAAGCAGTTTATCCGGCCGAGTTCGTCACCATTCGCTGCACAGATACTGTTCACACCGAAAAAAGACGGAGGGTTTCGCATGTGCATCGATTACCGAGCGCTCAACAGGGTAACAGTCAAGTCGCGGTACCCCATTCCCCGCGCCGACGAACTGATCGACCAACTGCGAACAGCACGGGTGTTTTCGAAAATAGATTTACGGGGAGGTTACCATCAGATTAGGGTCGAGCCATCGGACTGCGCAAAAACAGCTTTCAGGACTAGATACGGGTCATTCGAGTACACAGTGATGCCTTTCGGGCTGACCAACGCACCAGCGACATTTCAGATGACCATGAACGAGGCGTTTAGGCCACTTTTAGATAAATGCGTGATAGTTTACCTCGACGACATCCTCGTCTACAGTCGCGACAAGCAGCAACACTTAGCGGATCTTGAAGCAGTATTTAAGATTTTAGAGGAACATCGGTTACTGACCAAGGGTTCTAAGTGCGAGTTTTTTCGGGACAGGCTAGAATTTTTGGGGCACGTTATTTCGGAGGATGGGGTTGAGATTGACCCGAAGAAGCTGGACACAGTCAAAGCCTGGCACCCCCCGACGAACATCACGGAGCTGCAGAGTTTTTTGGGGTTTGTTAATTACGTCCGTCGGTTCGTCCCCGACATGGCTCGCTTAACAGCCCTACTGACGGATCTGCTGCGGAAGGGGGGTCGTCTTTACATGGGGGGAGA